GAACATGACACTCGAGAAGGTGGCACGACATCGCCCGCGGATGAGCGGTTCTCCTGATATAGAGGTTTTTCGAAAAATTTTGGAGATGGAATGACTCGTGAATGAGGAGGAATAGCTGGCTGAAAATTCGTACTTTGTATCAGGAGAGCATGATACTACAGAAAGTGGCACGACATCGCCCGCAAATGTGGGGTTCTCCTGATCCAGAAATTTTTCCAAAAATATTGAAGATGGAATATCTCGTGATTAAGGAGGAATAGCTGGCTGAAAATTCGTATTCTGTACCAGGAGAACATCGCACTCGAGAAGGTGGCTCGACATCGGCCGCTGATGAGCGGTTCTCCTGATACAGCGGTTTTTCGAAAAACTTTGAAGCTGGAATTTCTCGTGAATGAGGAGGAATAGCTGGCTGACAATGCGTATTCTGTATCAGGAGAACATGACACTCGAGGAGGTGGCACGATATAGCCCGCGAATGAGGGGTTCTCTCCTGATACAGACGTTATTCGATAAATATTGAAGCTGGAATGACTCGTGAATGAGGAGGACTAGCTGGCTGAAAACTCGTACTTTGTATCGGGAGAACATGACACTCGTGAAGGTGGCTCGACACCTCCCGCGAATGAGCGGTTCTCCTGATACACAGGTATTTCCAAAAACGTTGATGCTTTAATGACTCGTGAATGAGGAGGAATAGCTGGCTGAAAACTCGTACTTTGTATCAGGAGAACATGATACTACAGAAAGTGGCACGACAACGCCCGCAAATGTGGGGTTCTCCTGATACAGACATTTTGCCAAAAATTTTTAAGATGGAATATCTCGTGTATGAGGACGAATAGCCGGCTGCAAATTCGTATTTTGTATCAGGAGAACATGACAATCGATAAGGTGGCACGACATCGCCCGCGGATGAGCGTTTCTCATAATCCAGAGGTTTTTCGAAAAATTTTGAAGATGGAATATCTCGTGTATGAGGACGTATTCTGTATCAGGAGAATATGACACTCGAGAATGTGGCACGACATATCCCGCGAATGAGGGGTTCTCCTGATACATAGGTTTTTCGAAAAACGTTCAACCTGGTATGACTCGTGAATGGGGAGGAATAGCTGGCTGAAAATTCGTATTCTGTATCAGGAGAACATGGCACTCGAGGAGGTGGCACGGCATCGGCCGCTGATGTGCGGTTCTCCTGATACAGAGGTTTTTCCAAAAACATTGAAGATGGAATGACTCGTGAATGAGGAGGACTAGCTGACTGAAAATTCATATTCTGTATCAGGAGAACATGACACTCGAGAAGGTGGCACGACTTCGGCCGCTGATGAGCGGTTCTCCTGATACAGACGTTTTTCGGAAAAGCTCGAAGATGGAATATCTCGTGTATGAGGATGAATAGCTGGCTGAAAATTCGTACTTCATATGAGGAGGGTATGACACTCGAGAATGTGGCACGACATCGCCCGCGGATGAGCGGTTCTCCTGATACAGAGGTTTTTCGAAAAATTTTGAAGATGGAATGACTCGTGAATGAGGAGGAATAGCTGGCTGAAAATTCGTATTCTGTATCAGGAGAACATGGCACTCGAGGAGGTGGCACGACATCGGCCGCTGATGTGCGGTTCTCCTGATACAGAGGTTTCTCCAAAAACATTGAAGATGGAATGACTCGTGAATGAGGAGGAATAGCTGGCTGAAAATTCGTATTCTGTATCAGGAGAACATGGCACTCAAGGAGGTGGCACGACATCGGCCGCTGATGTGCGGTTCTCCTGATACAGAGGTTTCTCCAAAAACATTGAAGATGGAATGACTCGTGAATGAGGAGGAATAGCTGGCTGAAAATTCGTATTCTGTATCAGGAGAACATGGCACTCGATGAGGTGGCACGGCATCGGCCGCTGATGTGCGCTTCTCCTGATACAGAGGTTTTTCCAAAAACATTGAAGATGGAATGACTCGTGAATGAGGAGGAATAGCTGGCTGAAAATTCGTATTCTAAACCAGGAGAACATGGCACTCGAGAAGGTGGCTCGACATCGGCCGCTGATGAGCGGTTCTCCTGATACAGAGGTTTTTCGAAAAATTTTGAAGCTGTAATGACTCGTGAATGAGGAGGACTAGCTGGCTGAAAACTCGTACTTTGTATCAGGAGAATATGGCACTCCAGAAGGTGGCACGACATCTTCCGCGGATGAGCGGTTCTCCTGATATACAGGTATTTCCAAAAACGTTGAAGCTGGAATGACTCGTGAATGAGGAGGAATAGCTGGCTGAAAATTCGTATTCTGTATCAGGAGAACATGACACTCGAGAAGGTGGCACGACATCGGCCGCAAATGAGGGGTTCTCCTGGTACAGACATTTTTCCAAAAATTTTGAAGATGGAATATCTCGTGTATGAGGACGAATAGCTGGCTGAAAATTCGTATTTTGTACCAGGAGAACATGCCACTCGAGAAAGTGGCACGACATCGCCCGCTGCTGAGCGGTTCTCCTGATACAGAGGTTTTTCGAAAAATATAGAAGCTGGAATTTCTCGTGAATGAGGAGGAATAGCTGGCTGAAATTTCGTATTCTGTATCAGGAGAACATGACACTCGAGAAGGTGGCACGATATCGGGCGCAAATGAGGGGTTCTCCTGGTACAGACATTTTTCGAAAAATTTTGAAGATGTAATATCTCGTGTATGAGGACTAGTAGCTGGCTGAAAATTCGTATTTTGTATCAGGATAACATGACACTCAAGAAGGTGGCACGGCATCGGCCGCGGATGAGCGTTTCTCCTAATCCAGAGGTTTTTCCAAAAATTTTGAAGCTGGAATTTCTCGTGAATAAGGTGGAATAGCTGGCTGAAAATTCGTATTCTGTATCAGGAGAACATGGCACTGGAGAAGGTGGCACGACATCGGCCGCTGATGAGCGGTTCTCCTGATACAGACGTTTTTCGAAAAAGCTCGCAGATGGAATATCTCGTGTATGAGGACGAATAGCTGGCTGAAAATTCGTATTTTGTATCAGGAGAACGTGACACTCGAGAAGGGGGCACGACATCGGCCGCGGATGAGCGTTTCTCCTAATCCAGAGGTTTTTCCAAAAATTTTGAAGCTGGAATTTCTCGTGAATAAGGTGGAATAGCTGGCTGAAAATTCGTATTCTGTATCAGGAGATCATGACACTCGAGAAGGTGGCACGACTTCGGCCGCTGATGAGCGGTTCTCCTGATACAGACGTTTTTCGAAAAAGCTCGAAGATGGAATATCTCGTGTATGAGGATGAATAGCTGGCTGAAAATTCCTACTTTATATGAGGAGGATATGACACTCGAGAAGGTGGCACGACATCGGCCGCTGATGAGCGGTTCTCCTGATACAGAGGTTTTTCGAAAAATTTTGAAGCTGGAATTTCTCGTGAATGAGGAGGAATAGCTTGCTGAAAATTAGTATTCTGTATCAGGAGAACATGACACTCGAAAAGGTGGCACGACATCGCCCGCAAATGAGCTGTTCTCCTGATACAGACGTTTTTCGAAAAAGCTCGAAGATGGAATATCTCGTGTATGAGGATGAATAGCTGGCTGAAAATTCGTACTTTATATGAGGAGGATATGACACTCGAGAAGGTGGCACGACATCGCCCGCGGATGAGCGGTTCTCCTGATACAGAGGTTTTTCGAAAAATTTTGAAGCTGGAATTTCTCGTGAATGAGGAGGAATAGCTTGCTGAAAATTAGTATTCTGTATCAGGAGAACATGACACTCGAAAAGATGGCACGACATCGCCCGCAAATGAGATGTTCTCCTGATACAGAAGTTTTGTCGAAAGTTTTTGAAGCTGAAATAACTCGTGAGCGAGAAGGAATTGTTGGCTGAAAATTCGTATTTTGTATCAGGAGAACATAAAACTCGAGAAGGTGGCGCATCATCGAGCTCCAATGTGCGGTTCTCCTGATACAGGGATTTTTCGGTTAATTTTGAAGCTGGAACATCTCGTGTACGAGAAGGAATAGCTAGTTGAAAATTCGTATTAGGAGAACATGGCACTCGAGGAAGTGGCACGGTATTGCCCGTTGATAAGCGGTTTTCTTTATACAGAGGTTTTGTCGAAAATTTTTGGAGCTGAAATACCTCGTGTAGGAGAGGTAGTTCAGGGCTGAATAGTTGCATTTTTCGTCAGGAGAACATGTGACCTTAGTAAGTCGCACGACATGTGTCATTTGTACTTGTATCACTTGATATAATCACAGCCTTTCTTCACTTTTTAGTATTCATCACTTTTATGAGTTTCAAAAGTCAAATTTCTGGTGCATTCGCTAGTTCTTCAACTCACCATTTTTTAGTATGTCTGTATTTTAAGTCCCGGGTCACGAAAATCCGTAAGATTCTATTCGTATACCTTGTCTGTGATTTTCAATAAGCAATCACAGACCTCGTCTATGGCATGACGGCGTATTAAAGAACTATTGCATTACAGCATCCCCAAAAGAGGTATGTGTATGCTTCGTGTGTGACTAGTATAATGGTACAGATATGATGATTAAGTAAAGAAATTAAGAATCTGTTACGTTATTGTCAAATAGTGTATCTCCAGATTCCATAATACGGTTGATATCTAACATTATTGCATTTTATATTATGTATTTATATGTATGTAGGTCCGAAGAAGCTCTAATCCGTGTTTTACGATTTAATCATGGCTCTTTTTTTTCGTTGATAACTATAAGTCAGTGTTTATAAAAGGATCTTTTATTCATTGAAACTTGGACAAAATATATTCAGAATGACCTGTATGTAATTTCTACATATACATATATTCATAATATCTATTTTATTTAAAATTATGAAATTATTATTGATATTTGGATGAGAAATGTTTTATGCTGTTGCATCTCATTAATATGCAAGTTAGATGCTAATTCTAATCATATTAAGAACTTCAAAGGAATAAGACTTTTATATAAATAATCCCTTTTATTAAATGTTACTCATAATTATTTTTTGAGTAACAGAACTTCTTGAAAATTTGAAAGTCATTCCAAGGTTTATAGTAAATACGAATAGTAGTAACTGTAACTCATCCTACAATAGTTTGATTGGTCGACGAAATACGGTTCATCATGGAGTACGTCGGTACGTACTAACTTGACGATTTTCGTGTTTTTTATTAGCAATATTCAATCGATAAATATTTTTTGTTCTTATTTTTAATTATTTTAAAAAAAAATTAATATCTGCCTTGCAAAAAATATCGTACCAAAAAATATTAGTCGGTCAATTGTGTATGTTGGATTAATTTTCGTACGAACATTTATTTATATATTTCTACCTTAACTTTTTTATTAATATTATTCAAAGTAATTTTAAACGCTACAGAATTTGATATTTATACATTTCTTGACGAAGTGCATTCTCCCTGTTCTGACAAATATGTGTCATTTTAAACATAACCTTATCATTTGCAAAATTTTTCTTTTTCTGATTTATTCAATAGTTACGTTTTCACTATTTTTCTTATAATCGATTAAAGTATTATTAAAATCTTATAGAAATATGTGTTTTATAAGATCGTATTGAATTTGACACAATGATGTCAACATTTGTAATATATTAAGTTCCTTTTATTTTATAGATGCTGCAAAAAGTGAAAGCAACGACAAATCGTGTAACTCGACTTCTTGTGCTGAATTGCTATCAAACACAAATTCTAATGAAAATTTATTGGTAGAAACGAAAGATTCAACGTCAAAACATGAGATTGAAAATATACAAAAGATAGATAATAATATTGCAACTACCTCGCAAAATCCACCCCAAGAGAATATAGACTTTAAAGTGGTATATAATAAGCAAAGGATTAATATAAATTTTCCACTTGATGGCACAGTGGCGGAATTAAAAACTCATCTCCAAAATATCATATCTGTGCCACAAGCTATGCAAAAAGTTATGATTAAAGGATTAGCCAAAGATGAACAAACATTAAGAAATTTGGGGGTTACAAAAGGTAATTTTTATATAATACAATGTTGTACAATTAATATATAATACAATGTTTGCTCTTATGTGGACTGGCGTTCATTAAATATTTATTATATGCTCTATTATACAATTATATAATTTTTAAGGTGCCAAAGTCATGGTAGTAGGGTCAAAACTAGATGATGTATTAGCCATTTCGATTCCAACCAAACAGGATTTGTCAGATGAAGCTGCTTCCGCTACAAATAAAGAACCTTTATCTCAGCAAAAAATACATAGGAAAGTATTAGATAAAGGCATACCTGATGATGTGATGCCTGGTATATTAGATAGTAAGGTATGACTTATTCTCTTTAATGAAAACAATAATTGTTATTAAGTATTATATATTTTAACTTTATTGTTTTAAATTTTAGGAACCTCTACCAGAATTTCCATTGGCTGGCATGTTAAATAAATCCGGTGGTAAAGTTAGATTAACATTTAAATTGGAGCAAGATCAGCTTTGGATTGGTACAAAAGAAAGGACAGATAAAATACCTATGAATTCCATTAAAGGTGTACACAGTGAACCAATACATGATCATCCAGAGTATCATATCATGGTTTGTACTTAAAGATAAAGTGGTTTGCTCTAGTTTAATTCAAGTTTTCTGTGATCCATCTGCCAGTTCTTCACAGAGAATGAATTGACTGTTATGTTAATACTATTTGAAACATTTTTTAAAATTTTAGGCTATACAGCTAGGCACAACAGAAGCTTCGAGATATTGGATATATTGGGTTCCTGCACAGTACATATCGGCTATAAAAGATGCTATTCTTGGCAAGTGGTGCTACTTCTGATTGAACATTGATGAAAATTTTGGTCTATTCGAAAACAAAGCGTAATCAGGTGTAAGCATTGATACAAACACGACTGTACTAGTCACACGTTTTTAACAGTAAGTAATAACTTATTTTGCGTTGGATAATAACTGATATGTTTTAATAAAAATATTCTCTCTTTCTGTTAAAGAAATTTCCTTAGACGATTTTTAATTTTATTAAAAATAATAACAAAGATATTTTATAAAAATTGATATAATCATTGTTTCTAATAGCAAAAAAGAAATGTTTATACAATATTACGATTTCCGAATTATTGAAATCTTTTAATACATTGAAATAATGCTGTAACTGTAACCTTATTTTCTGTGAATTATATCATGTATAAGACTTGTAAATATAATAAGTTTTTTAACTATTATAAAAATACATTTACATTTAAAAAAAAAACATTTTATTATCTTAGGAAAAAAATTGTCATTTAAATGAACAGATCAAAGAATTTCAGCTTTTCTGTTTATTTAAATAGAAACACTTGAATCTTTAAAATAAAAGTGAAATGTTTGTAAAATTACATTTGTAGGAGGAAGTGAAGAAAGAAGTTATGATGTTGCATTTACAATCTTTTGAAGTTCGTCGAGAAATTATTCAACTTTTTACTAGATTTAATGACATTAAATGAGAAATTAAAATAATTTAGAGACAGATTGTTTCAAATCTGTTTTTATAAATGCAATTTATGTTCATTATTAAAACTGATTTTAAAAGTATTAGGTTCCAAAACAAATACGTTGCAAATTTGATTCGATTAAAAAAAAACAAAAGAGAACGAAATTATAAACATTTATTAGGTTACAATGAGCTAAGTTATCAAGAAATATAGTCCGCATTTAACACGAATAAAAAAAAAAATGCAATTCAGTACAATGAGTGGTACTGTTCGATTATGAAACAACGAATTTGTCGAAATACATTTGATATTGGCCTATATGTAAGACGTATGATAAAAATTGGTCAGGGCAATTAAGAATCGTCAGAAATTTCGCTGTGTAATAGAATTCAAGTGGATTGTATATCTCGACGAGCGTAAGTTAAATTATTACGTAATGTTAGTATTATAAGCTACTGTAAATTAGGTTTTATACTGTATAACATGTACAACTGAAGAAAGGAGAATCCAGAAAAACGACAAATCAAACTTGTATTTACCGTAATATCTACATGGAATTCATAACTATTTGCACATTCGAAAAATTATTTCAGTGTCCATTTAAAACAAGACTTGTACATCATGTTGTGTGATTTGATAAGAATAAACAATTTTAAGTCTTCTCTATCGTGAGTCTATATTTTCCTTTTTTTTTCCCCCTCTTACAAATTATATTAAAATATAATAAAATATAAATATTCACCATTTTTAAGTTATTCTACTAAATAAATTATAATAAATTAATTTTCAAGCTTTTAAACCGATTCTAACTTCTTACCCGCATCGTTACAGGGCATTTAGATTATCTTATGTTTGTGTGAACAGGAAACTTCCTATTATGGTTTTAAATTACTCGAGGCGAAACAAGTCGTTTTGCCGAATTTACTCTATTTGAAATTAAAAAAAGATAATAGAATAAGAATTGTTCAATATAGCTTCACCCAAATCAAAATATTTTGTATATTTCACAAGTAATACAAACCTTCACATTTCGATGAAATATATGTAAATGGTTCAAGGTTTAATATAGTGCTTGTGTGCGTGTATATGCCAAGAGAATACATATAACACAATTTGTGGAAATCTGTTTCTGCAATATCACTGGCCATTTAAATTAACTAGTGCCAATTCAAACTGTGTCTTGTATCATTTTTCACAAATAATGAAATATCTCGTTAATTTGTCATTATTGACTGATATCTAACCAACATTTAAGATACATGTTCCATACAATCAGACAATGCTATTCTCTGTGGTAGAAAATCCATGATTTAATGAATAAAGTGATTATGAATTAAGCAAAGTGCTAAAAATAAGAAATAAGTTTTAAAGAAATGGACAGAGAAACAATGAATTTAATCCTATGTTCATCGCTGCGGGATTAATGTTGTCATTAATTTGAAATATGAATATTATCTTCTAAATAGATAAATATAAAAAAAAAAAGAACGTCTAATACTAATGGTTACTTGAATCTACATAAAATTCTGAATCATTTGCTCTGCTAGTAATGGAAGAAAGTGATAATATTTTAGAAGATATAGAAGGAGCATTTCTAGCTTTAACCGAGAGCTTTCTGGAACAAGGTGCATCACTAGTAGATCTTAAGTCTGCTAGTCTAGGAAATAATATAAAGAATAAAAAGAACCATCTCTTATATCACTTGTGCTCTAAAAAGGTTCTTCTTGCCTTATTGACACCGATATTTTGTAGCATACTTTTTAAATATTTATATTTTGATATAATCAGAAGTGTTCGTGAAACTAGATGCTTAATACCAAATAATTATTTTATATGGGAATTTACAAGGCCAATATCAAATTGTGATTATTGTCAGGGTGTTACTTCTGCATTGATCTTGCCAAATTTAACAAGAGATGAATTCAAACAATATGCTTATTCCTCTAGACCTATGGTGATAAAACATGCTGCAAGTCATTGGCCAGCTTCAAAGGTATTTAGCTGGAAATTCTTCAAAGATTTATATGAGAATACTGATGGTGCTTATGATTCAGTAGATGAATGTCAGTTCTTGCATTTTAAAAGTAATCTCACTAATTTGCGCGATGTTTTTGCAATGAGTGAGGAAAGAGCTATGCAACATAATAATAAAGATCCTTGGTATGTTGGTTGGAAAAATTGTCACCTTCAGATTTTGGACATTATGAAACAATATTACAATGTACCTCATTTTTTACCAGAGGATGCAGAGGTTCCTTATTCCAATTATGTTTTTTTGGGATATGAAGAAGGTGCTATTATGCATGTATGTATAATAATAATACATGCATATTTATTTTTAATTAATTTTTAATTAATCACAGACTTTTTTTATAGCTAGATTATATCTCACGTCTAATGTGGCAAGGGCAAATTATAGGCAATAAAACATGGAGTATCGCTCCAACTCCAGAATGTGATACTGTTTGTATGCGTTTCAATTTTACTGTTTATGCTGGGGACATCGTTCTGTTAGATACAAGAATTTGGTATCATAGCACTTATGTTGAAGGAGGAAACTTCAGTTTAACAGTCACCTCAGAATATGGATAGATTTTTATATATAATGCAAAATTGTATTTGAACAATTTTATAGACTACATAGATAGCATTCTATGGAGTAAAAAATTTTATATTATTTTATCATGTTGAAAGATTTGCATTAAAATTATTGCATTATATTAATATTTAATTAAATATATATAAAATTTTTACATGTACAAAAACTTTATATATATTATGGGACATACTATCGATGAGTAGTATTATATTATTTATATACAAAATTCTTATCTAGCAAAATATTTAAAGATGCCATTTTTAATTATAAATATATGTGTATATATATAAATACCATATATATTTATTAATGTATAGATTAAAATGTATAAAAGATTAAATTTCGCAATATTTTAGATTGTATATTCCAATTATTATAAAGTTACATACAATTATTGGATATTTATTGGTTTTGCCATAGTTAAAACTAGTCGAAATAAAAGTTATAGAATATTTTGGGTACTACTGACACAAATGAAATAACAATATAACTGCCATTATACATTTCAAATTATTTTTGTATTCGTACAATTGCATTTGAATGCATATGTTACAAGTTTTATGTCCAATAAATAAATATATACAGTTAAGCATACTTTGACTAATGAAGTTTCATATAAATTTAATATATAAACTTTATTGGAGGCAATCAATTGTTATTTTATATTTAATTATATATATGCGTACATGTACAAATATATTCAGTTTATAATTTTTTTAATAAAATATATGAATATAGATAACGTATTTCAGTGTGATTTTTTTTCCATGTTCGTATACAGCAACTTTTATTTTATATATTCATTTAATTGCATAAAACACAACGATAAAATTTTTGTATAGATCATTTATACAGTTTACATTGTAATTATAAATACTCCTGTACTTTAAAGCACAAAAATACAATATATAGTGTTATATTCAGAAATTACGAATAGCATAAGAAAGATAGAAATATTATTCCATTTAATTACACACACCAAAACGACATATAGCAAAACCTAAAGTGGAATGCATATACCTGTTGCTATGCAGTACAGCATATCATGCATATAATACTAATTGAACAAGTGCTGACATTACATCATTATTTTCAGATTTCAAGGATGCATTTCTACTGGTCTTTTTTCTCTGTTGCCTGTTGAAAACTTGGCGGGCTTTCCTAAAATATATACAAAAAAATTTCTTTGTAATATTAATTTTTGATTCTGTATGATATTTTTGAATTATTTAATAAAAGTTCTACTTACATAGTATGCAGGAGGTGGAACGTAGGCACATTGTGGTCTGTTTGGATCATAATATGCACTTTGAGCAGCTTCTGCTGCTTTTGCATCTGTAAAAAATGAAAAGAATAAAACACTAATGTAACAGAAACATTAAATTTTTATCCGAAAATATGTTTAAATTTATGTCAAATCACATACATTTATACATGTTTGATGTAGTAAATTTAAATTGATCTGGCATTTTTTATTTTTATGAAAGATATTTAAACAAATTTATTATTTAAATATTTCGTGGTTTGATCTTCTTAAGACAATTTTATTTATTTTATAATGGTATTAATAAATTTTATCATGAAAATAAGACTATAAAATGTATCATTTGCGATATTTTTATATATGAATTTTATATATGAATATTCTGATTAAGAAATTAATAAATTAACACAATCTTTCAAGCAGTAATGAAGTAATATTTTATGGAAGGACACTTTGATTGAATGAGTCATTGATTGTATTAAAAATCTAAATTCAATGCTATTTTAATAAAAGAGAAATAAAATTAATAATTGATGTACTTTTTTGTTAATTTATACAGATAAATAAACAAATTAAAAATAATTAACGACTCAAAATAACAACTGGCGTATTTTTGAACTATCTCTGACAACTATGAGATAATAACTGAGCATAGTGAAAGTCAACCTTACTGCAGGTCAACCAAACCTGTTGTGCAATAATGTTGCATAATATTCAAAACCTCAAAGTTTTTCAAGTAGAAACAAACTATGATGTTATTCAATCCTTTGAGGAAAAAATTTATAAAATTTTTATAATAAAGCAATACTTCAAATTGGTGGGTTTAAATAAAAACAGCAAGTTATGTTTGGCTAAATTTTAATAACATAATATGTTTTTGTATTATAATGATCATCACAAAGCTATGTTTGAAGCAACAAAAATATAATATTTTAATATACAATACCAACTGGTAGAAAGAACAAATATTTAAAAATAATTTGATACTCATTTAATACTGTAATGTGTATGTTATATCATATAATCTTTATGTTACAAAGAATAATGTAATATACAAGTGCATCCTTATGTTTTCTTATTTAATATATTAGTTAATGTTTTTATTTTTCATCTATTATTAATTGATTTTAAAGATTTTCGAAAATTTGATCATTATTATTCGCATAAAGAGTGATATAAAGGTGCATACACAAAACACTTTACAATTAGTAATTAGAGGGAGGATATGGATTATAAGGATTTTGTTGTGGATAATAGTTAGGGTGTACATAATGATTACCTTGGGAATATGGAGTATATGGTGGAGGATTTTGTGGGTAACCATTATATGCTGGCTGTCCATAGTTCGGATACGCACCTGCTTGGGACATTGGTTGGGCATTATAACTTGGGTTAGCCCATCCGGGTGCTCCATTTTGTTGAGGTGGAGTCCAATTAGGTTGTTGACTGGAGTTGCCCCATGCACCTTGTGGATGTACATTTGCATATCCTTCATAAGGTGTATTTATACCAGGATATGGAGGTGGCATATCCGTCATATATACACTGTTTGCTATAGAATACAATTTATTTATATCCATTTATATCCATATATATAATATTAAAAAATCAAATTGTATCAATTGCTGGAAAATGGATAGGATCTTTATAATATTATGAAAATCTTAGAAAAATAGATGTTTAACCTGGTGGAGCATTTGAAAATGCATCATTTCGTGGGAGCCAACCGTAATAGCCAGTTGGAGTAGTTTGATAAGCAGGTGGTGGAGCTGCATAGAAGTTTGATGTTGGTGGTTCATATGGTGGTGGAGCATCATTTGCAGGTCCATTACGTTGAGCTAAGAATAGATAAAAACATTTGTTTCAAATATACAATACTCAAAGATAATAAAAGAAAAGTATTTAATTTATATCTATATAAATTACCCATTGCTGCTGCTCTTAACATAGCTTGACCAAATTCTATTGCACCACCACTTTTGAAGTGCAACTTGAATTTGCATTCTCCAATCCAATTACCATTTGGTTGAGCACGGCATTTACCTTTGATGTAATTGGCACCAAATATTGGTTGTTCCACCTCAACTTCGCTCAGTGTTATGAAAGGAAAGCTAAATGACTGCATCTTTTCCTTGTGATCTTTGGCATTAAAAATCATTCGATGGGTGGTCAAGTATAATCTACCATGTTTGGTACCAGTAAATTCTGCCTGCTCTTGCCCATGGAATTCCATCGTGACATTGTCGCAGAATAACAATATGCTAAAAAAGCAAACATTTGATGAAGTGAATATTTTATTTATTTATACTAATTATAATGGAAAAAAATTGAGAAAGAACTTGAGACAATATTTATCTATTCTAAAAATTTTGCAAAAGGAGCAAAAGTATGACGTGTCTTTGATGTAGCATTAATATTCGGAGAAATGATTATTGATAAAAAGGAAGTTGTATTTGGAAGGTCACGACGATAACTACGTTGTAGAACGTCACAAGGAAGACCATGTGAAACAAAAATATGACGTTAGTGATACTTGCAGATATATTTCATAACTTACCACTCTCCGGCGTGTATTAGAACACCGCCGTTGGTGTGCGCTGTATTTAACGACATACTTTTTTAATATCGTCTCCAATACTGCTGAAATTTCTAGTAACAATTCCTTCCTTTATCAGCTGATTCATAAGTGATAAGTATGGCGCAGCGCGCACGCGCATACATCTCGCTGTAATACATCTAAGGTTATATACATATATATATACAATGTATATTATACATACATACTATAGTCAGTTTGTATTTCACATAAATGCGTAACTGTCGTCCTCAGTTAAAGCTTTTTTAATGATTGCACAAAATACTTTACTAATTACTTAAAATTCGTGCATGTAGCTACTTACAAGCTTATATACATATACCGAATTATGATCGTAATATACTGACGCAATTGCTTTCGTGATAAAGCGTAATTTAAATGCGTGTGACATCGCGAAAATATATTTTGATCGTAATTCACGTTGATCCTCGAGATTGAAATATCACCGCGATAGCAAAATGTCAAATCGAAGTAGAAAATGCAGACTGTTGCGTTCGAATCTTGCGGGAACACCGGAAGAGGAAGCACAGATGCGCGCGCAGAAATCAATGCCGCAAATTTTCAAAGCATGCGCCAGTGCACGGGGACAATCACGTCCGTACTACGCGTAAAGAAATAAATAAGGCAGTGATCAGGTGCGATTAACCGATTGGCAAGAAGTGCGCGGTGTAACGCGGAATTAATCGGTCCTCACTGAGTAAAAGAGCCGCCAGTTAGAAGTTTTTCGGGAACAATGAGATCATAGAGCGGTTCTACGGGTCGATTGAGATTATATTGTTTTTCTCGTTCTCGTATACACGTCTACCACGGCAGACATGGACGAGAATTTGAGCCGGGGCTACGTGCAGTTAGGGAAAGCGAGGGGCATGAACGAATTCAAATTCTCCAACGGGTTCACGCATTTATCACCGCCTGTCGACAAATGCAACTTCATCTACTTCGCTCTCATACTTGGCGGTATAGGATTCCTCTTGCCGTACAACAGGTCACGCCGCAATCAGACACTATATTTTTCCGTGTGTCGGCAATCGAATGTCAAAGACCTCTGTTCCTGTAAATTTACGCTCTTCTCCTGAAACTAGAATCGGACTTGCGGTGCACACACTCGTGCATGCTCACGTTGAATACCAAAAAAAACCATGTACCATTTATATGTATTTTATATTTTGATATACAGTGAACCCTTGCGTAACGCCTGATACGTATAATGGAATAAACCGTATACAGTAGCTGCAAAATGAAAGTGTTCGCATATACCCTTATTTTCAAATGAAGCTTTCCTTCATACGCAGCTTTTTTTCATAGCTTGTCTTTGCCATTATCAAATCCTTGCAGTCGTGTAAAAATATCGCCGAATGATAGAAAATTTAATATGTTTGGACCTGACTGAATTAATGTACAAATGGCATGACAAATATAATGGCGTATAAATACACTTTTTCTGTGTATCTGTATATGCGTTTCGCACTGGATTCAAGAATTTCGTTATTATCGTATTATTTGCACAAATTTAATTTTCATCTTTTGTAGGAGAACAGTTTTAAAATACATTGTCAGTTCCTTTTGATTGGCTGTGAATTCAAACATATGTTTTGGCACCAGCTTCATAATTTTAAAAATATCGCCTATCTTTAGTCGTTCTGCCATTCGTCTTTTTCTGTAAAAATATTTCTTTTTACGATGCGATATTATAATCGAAAACCAACCAAAAATGTACTTACCAGATTTTTCTTCTAATTTGCATGAACGTATCATTCATTAGATCAATTTAATCCAATTCTCAATTTTTTTCTTTTTAAAAACCTAATGCTTATCTCTCTTTAATTTATGTACATATAGAGGAACTAATCGTTATGAAAGATTCACCAGGAATGTTGTACAGGGGATTCACTGTAGTTTTAATAACGTTAGATTGTAAATATTGAAAATTGGGTAATGATTCCAGGTGCCATCATATGAAAGTACTGCATGATTGTGTTTAGTAATACATTATTATTAAAAAATGATGCCTCAATTAATTGTTATTGTTAATGAAAGCTTGTTATAATGTTGATGTGTCTACTTCTTACAGTTTCATTATAGCGGCGGACTTTTTTCAAGCAAGATACCCCGGAACTACTGTAATATTCGATATGTCAGTTGTCTACATCATCATGGCATTCTTCGCAGTCTTTGCGAATAATATTTTAATCGAAACGTTGTCTCTAAACACGCGGATAACATTTGGTAAGAATTAGCAATCGATGTAAAAATTATTCGTATCGAAAGAACAAATTTATATAAAGATACTTTAATTCAGTAACATCAATGTGAATTGCAGGATATCTGGTAGCCTTCGTCACTTTAAATTTTGTTGTAATTTCCGAGATCTGGTGGGAGCCTTTCAACACGGCCACCTCTTACACGATTAATCTAGTCGTTGTTGCGATAGTATCGCTCGGCTGTACAGGTAAAGAATTTTCTTTCGTTTCATGAAATACCTTAAATGTGCATTTTACACTAAAACTGCTCTTTTTCTAATTAGTTCAACAATCGAGCTTTTACGGATACACCTCAATGCTTCCGAGTCGGTACACGCAGGCGGTGATGATTGGAGAAAGTGAGAAAAATACCTGAAAAGATTTGTTTTATTTAAAATGAATCAAACTAATGAAATATTGATTAAAAAACAATGTATTTCTTTTGTAGGCATTGCTGGTCTTTGGGTATCAATCAATCGAATATTAACGAAGTCTTTACTCGACGATGAACGCAGCAACACATCCATGTTCTTCGTTTTGTCGAATAGCACGATTCTAATGTGCTTCTTACTGAACCAGAAAGTTCGCAAAACTGACTTCGTGCAATTCTACATAACGCTGTGCCAGGAGAGAAATCGAATCACATTAGAACCAACAGAAGATGTGGGTCTGGTATGCGACGATTATTATTAATTCGCAACTTTAATCAAATAATCATATTAACTGTTGTTTTTATATAGATGGATCCATTGGACCAAGTCGGGGATCCTTCGAAAGGTCAGTACGGGGTTTTAAAGATTCAGACCAGCCCCCTTGGAAACGAATCCGCGAGTGGAAACGCTGAACTAAATGGTAAAAAATTATAATTTACTATCTACTTAACATGTTAAATAGAGATATTTATTTGTGGTAATTATTCCTAGGAACAAATCAATATTCGCCATTCTCATTCAGTAATCCCGTATATGAACCTGGTGCGCCATCAGGAAATCCTCCTGGTAGCGCTGGTCCTACGTACAAAGTTGAAGACGTAGTTGTTCTGCGAGGAACATACGGAACTCAAACTAGCAAACCGTGGCCTGAAATCAAAAGTACGGTATTCTTTAAGTTTTTATTATGTCATCAAGTCAATATTTCTTCTCGAAGATTAACGTATGTAACATTTTTTAAGAGGGTTTCCTCGCGAGACTTGAAGTGGCAAAGATAATATGCCCGTACATGGGTAGTATTGGTCTAGCATACTTTGTAACCCTTTGCTTGTACCCTGGAATTATGTCAGAAATTATTTCCTGTAAACTTGAATCATGGATGCCGGTGATTTTAATGACGGCGTTTAACGCCTCTGATGTATTGGGCAAGGTACAAAGAATCTGTACATCTCGAATATATTCAGTTAAAATTGAGCTGTCACGTACATGCGTATGCATACATTTTATCATTTAATGTTTCAGATACTCGCGTTGATTCCTTATGATTGGAAACGTACCCAGTTATTATTGTTTGCGAGTGTTCGAGTTATATTGATTCCTTTATTTTTACTTTGCGCATTACCTAGAAGTACGCCAATACTTTCTGGAGAGGGATATCCGTTGCTACTTTCTTGTTTGCTTGGCGTTACAAATGGCATCGTTGGATCGGTACCAATGACACAGGCACCTAGCAAAGTATCAGAGGGACATCGTGAATTAGCAGGTAGTACATGTTATACATATATTTCAAGTTTCGTTGATTGTAATTTATTGTGATAATTCAGTTTCTTTTATAACGTTACTGTATTCTTTTAGGTAATATCATGACTTTGTCATACACTACAGGTTTGACAGTAGGTTCATTGTTCGCATATATACTTGATACTCGCTTTGAACTACCAGCTCAATTGAAAGATGTATGTCAAAAAGCATTAATCCCATCAATAATGCCACTTAACAATACAACATCAAGCGCTGTAACAAATGTTATGTCTTCCACATTACCAACATTAGAAAACGTCACGCAAAAGGTAACTGTTTTGTCAGCCCTTTTGTCATCCACTTCGATGTTTAACAGTACTTTTAGTACATTAGCTACCGGTATGATGGAAGCATCCACGACCACATCCCCGAAGGTTTTCGTTAATGTTACTACCTCGGTTAACAATGCAATTGTACTACACTAGGACACGCACGTTTGTGTGTTGTGTTGAATCTGATGCTTTGTACGAAATAAGTTTGTTAAAACGTTGCATTATCTGTTAGAATTTTATTCGCCAACTTGAGCAATTATTTTAAATTGTTATATTATTTGGTTTACAATTAGTTTAAATTGTTGTAACTGTTTCCTAAAAATAAATTTATACAGATACTAAAAAACTTCAATTACATAGAACATCGTAAACTATCGCCAGATTGAACACACACACAAAGTGATTCGAGTTCCCGATTCTTATAATTTCGTAAATATTATAATAATTGTTTACTCGGATTTTGAACGTGATTTATTAATAAGTAAATGATATTTTTGACAAAAACGTGATCAGCAGTCAATAAAACGCAAGAACGGAGCAATATTGTATTTGCATTACGTTAAATAAATACTTCTTTTCAACCTCTGTAGAATAAATTAAGAGCCAGAGAAAAAAAGCTTTAAAAATTTTCTTCGATGATATTCCGTCTTTCATATCATTCTGGCTAATTTGATAGCGGTTTATCTATTAGACTTTATTGTTGAATGCAAAGAATCCATATATATTATAAGCTATACAATTTGTTGCACGTGGGAAGCGGAACAAACATTCCTTTAATCCTTAAATAATACGATGACGAACAATCGTAACATGGCAGAAACATCCTATACGTTAACTTGTAGTGTTCCTTTATTTATTTAGATAATTTTAAGAGAAATAAAAGGATAATATTTCCTAAAAGTTCCTGCCTTGAACTTGTTCGAAGGTCGCATTTGATTCAAGGATTAAATCATATCCTTCGGAATGAGCTGTTTTTTAATTCGAAAATCGTTGACTTTAAGTTAATTCCAGAACTGTCCGGAACGACGTCAAAAAAGAAAAAGAAAAAAAAAAGGGGAAATTATATCCAAACGAAATTCAGTCCTTCCCGGTAGTTCTCAGCACTGCACCTGTTAGATCAATGGTTGAGACGTAGCAAATTTACACGATCTAGTTATTCTGTAAGAAATTGTTATATGTCTGCGTGAATAGTTAATAATTATAAATGTAAGATACTTGCAACATACTTCGGTATGAAACAGAGGTGAAGAAGAAAAAAAAAAAAAGGAAAGAAAGAACGAAAAGCATGTGTTTCCTTCGAGCGCATAGTTTTCTATCTACGTTAATACGCCCAGAAACATATCCACATTGTTACGTGGGACGAATTATAATCAAATATTTTCAATCTTTATAGCCATTGAATGGAAACTCTTTCACACTGGATAGATACACTCTGCAAAATCTCATATTTTCACGTCATTACAGAGATCAAAGCTGTATAATTAAAAAAGAAAAGGAAGTGGTGGAGATCCTCTGCTAGAATTTTTTTTCTGTATTTCTTTTCTCACTTTTTGAAATTCAATCACACAATGAAGCTCATCCAAGCTCGTGAATTAAATGAACTTAACCGGCGATTCAAAGCTCGGAAGCATTTTTACGAAACGTTCCGATGATGGATTACACTTCAACGTATAAAAGATTAATGGATAAATGTATATGCGTAATATTTACCAAATGTACCACCCATCCAAACAGCTTACAGATGTATTTCATATATTCAAATGTATAATCTAGAGATCCTTTAGACGAAGCATATACACGTACCGGGGATTACACGTGAAACATACACATGTATACGCGAGAATTACTTATACGTACATTATACATACACATATACACACACATACACATGCAAGTTCAAAATAATGCAAATTAATTATATCAATCTCCGATTCGTTATATCATCGATTCTGTCATTCAATTTCTCTCGTAGGATGGTTTGTTTTGTCTGATGTCACTAGGATGCACAAAACACCGATACCCTTTTTGAACTCACAATACGAAGTAAGGTCTTTAAGATTCAAGAATCAATAATTCATTAGGTGTATCTTTACTTTCAACATATCGAATTGCCGAGCAGGATTTTTGAGAAGTTCTTCAAATAGGAAAATTTAAGAGGAGTATTGAAAGATGTTCAGAAACAAAAAAGAAGAAGAAGAAGAAGGAGAAGCAGAAAAATGAAAAAAACGGCACGTTCCTTTTTCGAGATATTTTTTTATGAGATGAATTCCAATTTTATAATCGCATCGTAGACGAGAAAAGATATTTTAGTGGTTCGTTAAGCGACTGCGGTATATTTTTTATTGCCTTTCATTAGTATATTAAACTTGCAATAAGTTCCATGATGTATCTGTTAAAAAAATGAACTATGTCAGAGGAAAGAAAACGAAAGAGGAAAGAAGAGCACGTGAAACAAAAAAGATACTCGAATGGTCGAACGTAATTAGGAAAATTTATACAAGGATAACTAGAGAAAAAAAAAATCGTAATAGAGTTATGAAATGAGTGAGGTCTGATAATGAGTGAACAGTATAAGAATGCTTAAAAAGATTGCGTGTAGAGAATAGGGAGAGTCCTTTTGTTTGATAATCATATTTTTCATTATGATGTAACTATCCGTACGTCAGATGCAGTACATGGAGTAATATTCTGTACAGCCTTTAATATGTACTCGTTAAAAGAGTGCTATTGATTATACAGAGAAGGGCAGATGTGATCAATTTTTACATTAGTCTTCTAGATATCAGAAGTTACTTCACATCGTAATTAATAACATGTACAAATAATAAATATGTATATACATATACATATATATATAATTATATATATAATTATATTCTTTAATATATCTTATCCAAGTATAAATACTCTTTACGATTCAAAACATTACACTCTTAAAACCACAATCATTAATCGATACTGTCTCCTCTAATACTTTCCTTTCTTCTTTACAAAAGTTAACGTGCTGAATTCTATATGTAAGTATTATCAAAATACTTATTGATAATAATGCATACTTATTAACAAATTTATGTAACGCACGCCTTTTCCTTTTCAGATCCTTCCTACCTATTTCAATAAGTTAAGGCCGGTTCGTTAAATATTAAATCAAGTTGCTTAAAGAGTATAATCACCTGAGCGGCTCAGAAAATAATCAATTAACAAAATAAGATATTTTATGTTCCTAGAGGCTGTTAAACTTTTGCCTCTTGAAACATTCATCTGGATCTCCTTCACAATGGAATGAAATGGTAAACGCCATTCTATCACAGTTAAATAAATTGAATACGCTAAGTACGCTAATGTAACTTTCAAACAGTCATTTGAGATACTTAGCAGCCCAGTCGGTTCGACCATGGAGGCCTCCGCTGCCTTTCGTATTCAATACAGTTCCATAGGCCTTTGGTTGAATTGTTCCCTTGTTCGTATTTTCTGTCGAATTCGCAATTGTTAATAATAAGTTATTAACGTTTACATAGAGAAAAAATTAATAAGTTTAAAAGCACTTACTGATGTTCTGTGTACCATAAACGCTGGGATAAGGTAATCTCAAAGTCTGATCGGTGAGATATCGATTTCGTGGAATATAATATTGTCTCGTCTGATTCTCCACGGAATTCCTAGGTAACCAGAAAGAATCGGTGAATTCCTCATACTTCTCCATCGGTTGACCAACCAGGTTCCGCACTAATCTAGGCCTGTTTGTGTCGGGGTCACCGTTTCTTCAAGAACGAAAAAGAAAACAAAACGAAAAACGAATTAAACGAATAAATCGTTGATTTCATTTATTGAACACCTTCGATTTACAATGGGAGCGGACAGTATACATAAGATATAAAAAAAGAAAGAAGGAACTCAGAAAATTAATCTCCGGAAAAATCAGTCACCTAATTGCGAGTAGGTAAAGAATAATCTCGAGAGAGCAATTCTATCAGGTCCAGACGCGTGACGCATTTACGAATTTCGTTTTTCAGACAGTACAGCAACGTACATCCCAGTATTATCAGCAAGCAAGGAATCAGGATTTGCTTTAAATTTCGAAACGTTCGATACCTGGACGATAAGCTCGCGCTTTGACCGGCGACGTATCGAGCCACGCTGAAGTAATGTTGTTTCCCCGATGCTTTCCTGCCGTTCTTCACATTTGACGGCTGCAATTGGCTCCAATTGATAGCTGGCTCGTTCCATGCTGGCAGAACCCAATTGCTAGCCTGTCGCGGATTCTCTGGTAAATAATTGGCATTCCAATTGGCACGGTTCTCTTTGTACACTCGTTCTGGGACTAGCTTTGCGTTCACGTTCTCGGGTACGATTTTGCTACTGACGTGGACAATTCAAGGATTAGATTTATATAGAGGTGTGTCGCGGTGCACACAGGGGATTCCCGCTTAATACGCAGCCATTTAGGAAATTCGAGCAACGCACCCCAAGAGCTCGGCAAAATCGTCCTCGTCCAACTTTTGTGCATTGCTATCGCGCATGTAACTGTTATGGTTCAACAGGGGGAGCATCGTTTGCTGTTGCTGGGGCTGCACCATTTTCTCTTGCGCTCTGTAATTAAGAGTATGTTTATTTACTATCTTTAGACATCGATTTAATCCTTAGCATATGAAGTTAGAATTGTATTATGCTCATTTGAGTATATTCGTATTATAACATATTCGTATAGTAGTACATAGATTAATAAAAATATTACGGATAAATAAGATTCATTTACTAGAAATATTTATTTAAAATAACTTACAATAGCGCTTGATGCTCCTCCCCTTTTGTTCTCATTTATTGAAACATAAATAAAAATCGCTGGCAATATATTTTTACTATTTATCAATAGACAAATATAAGGGTTCACTAAATTATAAGGAACAATACCAAGAAGAAATACTTTTCTAAATTTTACTGCGTAAATATTTATAAATTTGTATGAAATACTACTTTTCAAAAAAGAACTGTTTTTATATGTATAATAAGAAATTTTACATATAAAATCCAACTATGCAATATCACGTTTGCATGACATAACGAAAGTAATATTAACAAAATGAATTTTAAGGGATTAATTGAAATTATTATCTTCGTATGCTAAGGTTTAAAGATAAGTATCGATTCAATTCACCTGGATCCCATTGGAGTCCTGATTGCCTCTTGGGAATAATTATATGACTTATTGTTAGATATAGGAGGTGGAAGATTCACTTTGTTCAAAATGAGATCCCGTTGAGATGCAACACCAATTTTTGTACTATTAATTATGCGGGGCATGTTCGTTTGAAAATAAGGATACCTACAAATAGATTGTTTCAATAATCGTTGATTATTTCTTGTTAGAATCTACAGAATCAACCAGCTAAATGAGATTATCTAAATTGTATTCTGCTTTCTTTATTTAAAAGCATTCTATAATATATAACATCTTTTTATTTAGATGATCTTATTTAATTAGTTGTGTATATTCTTTGATTACCTTAGAGATTGTTGTGCCGTAGGTCTTTTGATAGGATTCCACTGTAACATATCTTCCATAAGTATTACTGCTTCTTGGCTGGCATTTGGTATTAAAACGCTCAACGATGTACGAGAGAAATTTGGAAATTTGAAATTCATGGCGGCAGCTAATTGATATCCCTCTGGCCAATCATCTTTCTCTGGTGACCCGATCACGGAACATATTTTAAAGATTTCGTCGATTTCGCTTTTGCCGGGAAAAAGTGGCCGAAATGTGTACAGTTCGGCCATGATACAACCCACCGCCCAAATGTCGATCGGACTGTTGTAAGTCGTTGAATGAAGCAATACTTCTGGTGCTCTGTACCTGAAGTAATAAATAAAAAAATAAAAATTAATTATAAATTAACTAATAAATTTCCTTACATTAGTTAGAAGCAGCTAAAGTGATGTTAAAAGAATTTTAATTATTCGGAACAGCTTTTAATTTAGATCATAGTTTTAAATGTTAATTGTTATTAATGACATGTTTTACTTCGTGTAATTTTTATATACATACACAGGTGTTGAATTACATAAATATATGTGTATCAAAATATACGGTACAAATATAATAACGTATCTAAGTTTTATTTTGTATCATTATTAATACATGAAAAGAAATAGAACATGGAAATACATTTACTCGTGTAAACAAACTGTAGATAAGAATAAACACAATACAATTTTGGATGACATTGGCTGGTATTCTTGTTATAAATTGATAATTACCCGAAACAAATATTGAATATACTAATATACATATCTGTATCATTAACTGCACGTATAATACATGTATTTAAATATATATACGCTCACTTTCAATATCATTAGTACATTATAAACAATAGACAATGAAGAATAAGTATTTTGCATAATTAACTGTGCATGTAATTAATTGATAATTAAATATTTATTAAACAAATAAGTATTACCATCTGGTGGACACGTAATCCGTGTAAGGCGGCCTTGACCGTATTTCTCTGGCCAAGCCGAAATCGGCAATCTTCACCAGTTCCGGTCCCATGCATAATAAATTTTCAGGTTTCATGTCGCGGTGAAAAAAGCCATGTTTATGCATGAACGCCAATCCTTGAAGCACCTGGTATACTATATTCCTGATCACCGACTCAGGGAAAAGTTTGTCCCTATTACATAATATTCTTACAAAAGTCTATTCTTTAAAATTTAAATTGGTGATTCAATAATTTTTCTTCACCTGTCTTTCATTAGTTGATAAAGGTTCTCTTTCATGTACTCAAAGACGAAGTACAACACGTCGTTTTCGCGAATTACTTCTTTTAATTTCACCACGTTCGCGTGACTAAGTTTCTTCAAAGACTACAATAAGAAAGATTGAAATTAACACTTGAGTTTTTATTCTGAGCACTATTATTCTTTTATTATTTATTTCATCGAGTCATTCAGGAAGTTCGTAACTCCGAAATATTTGACAAATGATGATTAATATCATGAATAAAAGTGACAGAGGTGCAATCAAATTAAATAAAAAATCCTGCTCTTAGATAAATAGCGAAGAAAATTAAAAAGGAATATTCGATATTACTTTTAGTTACGTAGTTTAAGTTTTGTGATATATATAGTTAATACATATAGTTGTGATTAAAGAAAGTTTTGATATAATTCTTTTACAAATTATCTGAGTGAAATGATAAATTTTACTACGAACTTTCTGACAACAAGTTTATAACAAGCATATATTTTTAAGGGAACCCACAATTGAAAGGAACTGCATGATATGGATTTGCATTTTAAATTTATAAATTGTATAAATGCATGAATGATCCACAATTTGAAGGTCAAGTTGTGGGTTCTCTTAGAACGACGACATAAATTAAATTTTCTTATTACTTTAACTTCGCGTAGGTTCATCGCCTCCTCCCAGGAATAGTACTTTCTCTTCATTCTTTTTATAGCGACCTTCTCCCCGGTATCGATACGTTCTCCAAGAACCACGGAACCGAACGTTCCATCCCCCAATTGGTTTAATGTTATATATCGATTCATTTTCATCGACGTTCGTATTGTCGAAGATTTAGAACATTTCTTCAGCTTGCGGACTGATCGTTCGTCTCAAATGCATCTCTGGACGCATCATATTAATCTCTGAAACAAAAGTTGCTCGTTTCCTTCATGACATGAACATCTGTTTAATATTAAATTAATTTTAACTTTGAAATGTAAATTAATCCCGTTGTGTTCCAATCTCGCGCTCAGTTAAGCAAACAAAAAGGATTTATAATGCTTCAAGTTCAACATGAAACTTGATCGAAAAATCACGCGTACTAATGCTTTCTCATATTTTGTTCAAATTTGAGATGTATGATTTTAGAAAAACTGATCAAAAGAAAGCAGCAGTAGAATTGATAATATCAAATCTTTCATTAAAACAATTTTTTTGCAGTAAAGTATCAATTAGCAGTTGAAAGTCTTAAAGGCTATCATGATAAATTGTGTCACACGCAGACTTTATTTGTTATCATTCCGTAATAATATCGTCATAATGTTATTAAGCATCATTGCAAATAATAACTGTTTATATGATATGACAGTATAATGATAGAGAGTTACGAAGTTCAATACATAACAGTAATGTATTAATCACTATATAAACAATTATAATGACCTTAGCAAGTTGTTGTTGAATGATAGATATACATATGTCAAATTGCTGGAAAGATAATTATTTGCAATTAGTAAATAAATTGTCTATTAATATCGAACATTCGAACAATGATATCGAATACTCCAGTCCTGTATCTATAATTATACATTAAGTAACGTTGGATTTCCCGTACATAATCATTATTATTGAGTATTCATGACCTTTGGTCACTTCATTTACAATTTTTATTTGCGTCAATAACTGTCCGATTATGATAAATAATGTAAATGTAAAAAGAAAAAAACATCAAAATGTGTTACTACCTGTGTGTGTTTTCAAATAACAAGCATTTTTTTTCAGAATGAGCATCTAGAAATATGTATTTTTAAATATGTACTAAAAATTTGATAAAGTTAATAATTTTTTTTCTAATTATTTTTTATCTTCCTCTCAGGTCTGACATTATCAGTTAATCATTAAACTCGGTAAGATCTATTTACATTGTATCATCTCCGGTAGAAAATTAATTTTTACGCTTTGTTATTTTTTTACATAATTGTACAAGAAAGAAAAGGAAAGTGTTTTATTAAATTAATTTAACTGCCCTCCTCTTCACACATATTTTATCTTTCACTGACAACGAGATTTAATATAATCAATCAATTATTAAACTCGATAAAGCGTGTTTACAGATCAGAACTATTTATTCCCGGACAAGTTCACATTACATCATTTGAGATGGCACAAATAAAGTTAAATTCATTGAAATTAATCTTATCGTTTATCTAATTAATCGAGAATTATCACGATGATCATCGAGGAACTACTGTTCGCGGTATCAAAAATACCGATGACTGTGAATCGTGAACGAAAAAAATCTTTAATTGAGAAACGTGGTTAAATCGATCTGATGAAGAGGCAGTACACTTTAACTTGTATGTATAATTTGTTAGAAACTGTTCGAGTTTAAAATTTCATTTCATTGCTTAAGGTAATAGTATCGACAAGAAACGCTGACATACCGTTCGTAAAATATGAATCATTATGCTGGTACCAACGTGTACCAGGTTGATAACTGAATTTCAATTATTTTCAAGCACAGTGATACTCGGAATCGATCGATGAACGCATTTTGCTAAAGACACGTGTGCTCTATGCACTCTGTACATGATTAAATAATTCGATGACGTTTTGCATATGAAATTGATATAAAAAAACGGAGAACGGAGATTATCGCCGCTAGTCAAATAGAAAAACGGGAGAAACTAGAGAGACAGAGACAGAGACAGAGAGTTATAAAAATTGGTAATCATTAATTCGCTATGCAAATATGCAAAATACGTAAAATGAAATAAAAAATATATAAAATATTCGAAGTAATACTTTGTAATACTTGAACGTAATTTTCCATTTCTTAAAATCTGAAATTCTATATTCTCTATGATGTAATAGTACTGATTATTACGTTCAATTTTTTATTACTCTGATATTAGATTTCTCTTTAATTATATTCATAAAATTATGAACTTGTCTAAATATTCGTGGTCTATTTATATAACTTTAAGACTTCAAAACTCTAAAACATCAAAACTTGAAATGTTTTATTAAATTTAGAGCCCTCTTGTTCGATATTTCAATGCTGTTTCTACAAATGAAATACAATAAGTTATCGAACTTTGTAGTACGGAAACAACATAGAGGATCGTGGACAGTCACGAAAATGATGAGTTATTCATCATTTTATTATACCATTAAATGGCCAATGTTTCCAATAATTCTTTTTTTTTCTAATTTGTAATTTCGATTTGTAATTTCAATATTAAAATTCCACACAGAACCAGCAGTTTCAATTAGTAGGTGTAATAATTATGTCTTAAAGAAGCCAACGAATAATTTTGTTCTGTGAACAAGAGAATCGTAATAGAGGTCAACCAGTGAGATTAGCACTTCCCTTACTCCGCTCGCATGCGACCAATCTTCGTGACGGGTCAGTCATGCGAGGATATAGATTTTCTTAGGTCTCGCGATTCAAGAAAACGGATGAATATACATACATAGATACATGTAATAGGTCACTACGAAAGTTCTGACCTTCTGTCAAAAACTACAGCGTTGTTTTACGGTTACGATTGACAATGTGTCTCTAGTTTCTAGTTAATTCGCCTTGTCTCCTTCATGTAATCATTAAAATGAAAAGATAAAAGTTATTGAGATTTTGTGTGTATTACAAAAAATCATTTTAATTTGGTCTTTTATTAAAAATTATCACTCTGAATGCCGATACATTTCCAGTTGACTTGACTCTTTTAATTTTATATTGAAATGTAATTGTATTATATATTTATATATATTACATATTAGATATAATTTTAAATCTAATTATATTTTAATATTAGACATAAGATACAATTAATAATATTGGGAAATGATCATGAAAATCTGATAAAAGAAATTGATAAAAACTATTAACGTTTTATCCTATAATAAATCATATTATACTTCTGACTTTCTATTAAAGATCTTGGTGTTGTATTCTGTATTATTGCAATCGTCAATACGTTTCTAATTATTTTTGCGTTTTTTTAATTTTATACCTTGAGTAAATCATGATTCATTCAGATGATTTTCAAAACTGAAAATTCCTCTAATTACTAATCACATTTAAAAGAAATTTGTGAGACAATAATAAAAGAACAGTTAATAACATAGAACAACGATTGAATTTCAAGTATAGATCATACAGAGTGACAGAGCAATTGAATTTAACGAAAACACAATAAAAGTTTCATGATGATGAATTTCTGATCGATTGGAATCTATTTCGATTCCTTTCAATTGCTAACGTTACACGAATAGCAAGAAACACATAAGACATAAGATTGATCAATCAACGACATCGTACTATGATGTCTATTCCCAATTATATTTAATTTACTTGTAAGACGTATCGAACTATTATTATATTCAGCGCGAGTATGCGATGAAATTTCGAAATTCGGGAGAAGGACTAAATTTAAGTTAAGCGGAAGTGCTAGGAATTGTGGTGACGTCACCCATTAAAATTCCAGCATACACTACAATTTGACACACGCGAACAAATATGAGGATTTTTAATTTTTACTTACGACGAAATCCATCTGGTTCACCAACATACCACGTACGTGATTACCTTTCTACGCAATGCTCCTTTACAAACTGTTAATCGAGCGGCCATGCTTCACCAGTATGTAGTCATGGTTACAAATACTAACTGAAAGTTGTACAATTGGTGGTTGTTTTAACCCTTATTATGACGATTCATCGGCTAATCAAGTCTTTTTTCATTGACGAAAGTAGAACGAACGTCGAATGCTGCAACCACAACAAACAATCCAATTATTATCGTACAAGAATAAAAATGAGATGTAGATAATGAAGCGGTACCATTAGCAAAAGATTTATTATTATTTGAAAAAATTTCAAAAACTTGAAGCAATCCAAGAAATTTTACGTATGAATTGTAAGAAAATCGTACGGACGATCGGTATATCAAGTTGTTTGTAAAATTTACCGACTATTAAGCAAATTTGAAACATTTTAGGAGTTGATGAACTTTTAAATGTTGACGACTGTTGCTGATTCGTTTATAAACACGGATAAATAATTTGCGAATAAAATCGTTCATAGATAGAAAATAATACGATATAAAGAATACCTTTAAATACAAGAACGCAAGTAAACAAGTTCTGCGACATCATAACTCCAGCTTTTGAATTATATCTGTGATGAAAGAGGGCGTATCGATTTCTAAATAGTATATTAAAATCGTTAAATTGAAAAATTGTACGTATTACTAAAGTTCATACTCTTTTACATATGTAGATAGTTTATATTATTTTAATTTTTATGCCGAGTTATTTTAATTACGTATAATTATATAAATAATTTTTTTAATTTTGTTCTACGTAGTATCTACCTACACATTTAATAACTATACAATATACGTACTATAAAATAGACTATAGAGAAAGCAGGTCTTTCGTACAGGTGTTAGCACTGTCAAAGAAATTATATTGAAAATGACACAGGAAACTAAAAAAATAAAACCGAAGCAAGTAGAAAAAGAAAAAAGTCAAAAGGAAGAGAAAACTGAAAAACATGTGAAAGAAGACACAACTGACAATGTTAAGTTGTATGTAATATAAAAACCTAATCTAAAAAGGGTGTAAAAATATTATTGAAAACGCAATTTATTTATGTCAAGTGTTAACTTTATAAATTATACATGATTATAGATAATATGTTATATTCTTTATTAATGTTTATTAGTATTTTTTAGTAATATTGTTTCATAGGTTAATGTTATTTTCGTATGTTTATATGTTATTTTTGTTTCTTTTTTAGCATAGCTTAAAAAGTTCATATTATGTATAAAAATTAATTTATAATTAACTTTTCTCAAATTATTTTATCAATATAATTATGATATAGTTATTTTGAAATTTATATAATACTATTATTTTGCAGAAAATATGGACCTTCAATAAGATTTCCTTATCAAAGAGTGTGGTCTCGTTCTGCCCTGATATTTCCAGCGTTATTTATAGTTTGGTATAGCAGCAGACAGGGTAAAGAGATTTATTTAGCGAGACAAAAAGAGATTTTATTAAGTCGCACGCTGAATGTTGGATGTTCAAGTGATTATGAAGCAGAGACAAGCAAATATCCAGAATGTGTACCTGAAAAATGTGGGAGGATAGTTACAGATAAATTGGTATCATCAACAGAAACTGACGTCTTATTGAAAATAGCAGTAAGTGGTTTGAATTTGGGTGGTTCTGATGGAGGTGCAAGTATTTTGGATCTTCATTCTGGTGCACTGAGTAAAGGTCAAGGTTTTATAGACATTTATACTTTACCAGAAGCAAAAAAGATATTCAATAGTGCTGATTTTGCAATTTATAAGTATGTGAGTTTTTTGTAGTTTTTAAAAATAAAATTAACTTTACGTTGTAATTGTATAACATTTACAGAGTAGTAAAAACTAAAATACAACATGCAGTAGCACATAACTTTGGCATACCTTCAAACAAAATATTTTTAACAAAGCCAACTTTTTTTTCTCGAATGACTAATGTGTCTGCAAAAACGATACATGATGAATATTGGCATCCTCACGTTGATAAGGTGCATAAATTATTTTTGATTAAATAATTTGTAATATATCTTTTTTAAATTGATATTTTTGATACAGGAAACATATGAATCTTTTCACTATACAACTTTACTTTATCTGAACGACTTTGGAAGGGATTTTGAAGGAGGCCGATTTATGTTTATAGATAAAAATAACGTGAAAACTATAATAGAACCTCGTAAAGGTAAATAATAATTGCAAAAAGTACTGTTAATGAAAGAAAAGTAATATTACTTAAAATTTACGTTATAGGTAGGGTATCTATGTTCACTTCAGGTAGTGAGAATTTACACGTAGTTGAAAAAGTACAATCAGGAACTCGATATGCGTTAACCATATCTTTTACATGTGATCCAAATGCTGCAATTTCTGATCCAAATCATCGACTAAAACAAGAAAAATAAAATTATTGTATAAATAAAAATTCATTATAATTTTATATTGAAAGTTTACCTTTAAAATGTTCCTTCTAATAAAATATTTTATTTCAAAACATTTTGTTTTTGTACATATATTAAATATTTATATGACATCAGTATTGTATAAAAATTTATTGGATTGTAAGAGAATGAATTTAAATTCATAATTTATTTTTTTAATATTTGTTTTTTATTTACTTATTGACATGATACAAGAACATATGACAAATGCGTAATGTATGCGTTTGATGACAATTAAGATAATTATGAACATGTACATAATTATTGCTAATGAAAAAATATAGTATAAATAGTTGCTTTTGACAAAGCATTAAGTATGTTATGTGCAATATATTGTGAATGTGTATAAATATATATAGGATATATATGTATTGAACTTTATCACTGGAATGTTTCTATTTTATTACATTTATCATATACACTATTCAAAAGTGTAAGAGTGGAAAAAATGTATAACAGTTGTTAATCATTATCTTTGTTAAATGTTTTTTGTACATTTTTTCTATTTGTTAGAAAAAAAGTAAATGTTTAAAAAATTTAAATTTGAAATAATATTGACATTGTGTAAAATTTAATAAACTGTGTAAGTGTATATATATATATATATATATATATATATGAACACTATATGTTTAAGTAATGATAATTGTCCACTATAAAACCATTACAAAAACCTATAGTATATATAAGTGTTTCTGAACGTGTATTGTGAACATATAATACATAATTTATATATGTGCATAATTTAAAAAAACAAAATCATTCTTTTATCTTGATACCTATTTTTCATTCCACAACTCAAGATATTTACGATTAGAAAGTAGAGAAACTGACTGTATAACTTAATAATACAAATGATATAAACAATGCATATAGAGACCTAACAAAGAAATATTTGTACAAAAGAAATTTCACAGAAAAATATATAAGAATCATTAAATATTAAACATTAAGTTTTCATGATCTTCATCAATATCAATGTACATTGAGAGTTCTTCGAAATATATCTATGCAACATTTATGTACATTTAAGTAATGATATTAATAGAAAATTCTCAAATAATTTTATAAGTTGAGACATATTTTTTACAATCTTAAAATATTTGCAACTTGTGATGCGTTCTTTCCTACTAAAATGCTCCTATGATTTCCGGGTATCTCTTTAACTTCCACATTATTGCAAATCTATAAGAGTGAACATATAAGAAATTAAAAAATGAAATGTATTTATATGACTAAATTAATCTTTCCTACGTAAACGTAATAATTACCTTTGATAAACCATAGTCATTATGTAGAGGAACAAAGCTATCTTGAGCTCTAAGTAATAGAATATTTCCATTATATTTCTCTGGTTCATAGAAGAAGGACACTTTCAATTTCTTGTAAAACAGTAGACCAGCAATTTTTAAGTCTTCAGATTTTATATTAGGTTCGTTTATTATTTCTACCACTTTGTTTAGTACCTCGTCAGTAGTGGATAACTGTTTCAATATTTCGTATGCCTAGGAAAAGAAAAAAGAAAAAAAGAGGATAAACACATACAATAAAATTATAAAATAGTATATGTAAGCAGAAATAAAAAATACCTGAAGGAAAGTAATCTTCTTATTGAATTGTCTGACAAAGTACGATAAAGCTTTTCGTAAACCGTCCGCAATCACTTCTGAAGTATCTTCAGTAGCATGCTTTCCAATTTCCAGAGAATGTAACTTCAAGAAATCCGGCGAACCGTCAATGAGAGTTAAGTTCGTCTTATGCCCAGCTTTCTCTAATTGAACAGCCATTTCAAATCCGATACAAGCTCCGAAGGAATATCCTACTATGTTATATGGTCCTTGATTTTGGATCTTCTGCATTTTCCTCACATAGAAATTAGCTAACGTCGATACAGATTCTAACGGACTATCTTCTACACATTGGAAACTCCAAGCAGGTCGGTTTAATTCACCAGCCAAAGTTTTGAATGGTGCAATAACTCCTTCAATAGCGGGAATGAAAAACAATGGCTGTCCGCTCGAATTCATTGTCTTCAATGAGACAACAACCTCAACAGGTACGATCTCCGTATCTTCAAATAAGAGTAGACCACCATCGTCCTGCATCATTACTTCCTCAGTTTCGTCATCATTAGAATCATCTTTTGCTTCTTCTGTAGAGTTGTCTAATTTTCCTAATTTGTCGAATGTTAAATTACGAATTTCAAGAGCAGATAACACTACATCATAGTTCCTCTCGAGGGTTTGTTTAATTTCTGTTCCCATCAAAGAGTCCATTCCCAGATCAGCTAAAGTAATATTACCATTAACCGATTCTAATGCTTTAATGCCCAAGATATTAGCCACTGCTTGAACAACACTAATTTTGTTTGCATTTTCTGCAGAGTTATTTTTATTTCCCAGAACAAATGAGGATAGAATCGGATGTGGCTGTTGAAGGAATATATCCATCGTATCGAGACAATTTTGTATACGCTGCGGCAAAGTACCACCAATCTCAGTATCGTTAAAAGCACCCATTTTTTCTGTTAAAAAAGAAGAAAAAGGAGAAAGACCATAACAAATATATCCAAATGTTTCATAAAGTTACTCTCTTAAAATCAGTAAAAAAAAATTTACCTAAAATTATACCGACATCACCAATGGCTCCCCATTGAATAGCAAGACCAGGTAAACCAACTGCTTGTCTTTGTTCTATTATTCTTTCCATAGCAGAATTTGAAAGACCATAATTAGTTTGGCCTAAGTTACCTCTTCCGCTTGTAATGGACGAGAACACAACAAAGTAATCTAACGAGGAACATTCGCGCGATACTATATCCAGATTCTTGGTTCCGACAATCTTAGGCGACGCTGATATTACGAAGTCAGATTCGGTCAGATTTTCAATCAGACCGTCTCGCAAAACAGCTGCCAAATTGAATATACCACCAACTGGTGCCAATTGATTACTTTCTCGTATAAGTTGTTTCGCTCCGTTCAATGTTGTTATATCTAGTGTCGAAACCTTTATCTGTGCACCCATATTGCGCCAGCGACGAATGCACAACGCCTGGAAGCCAGTACGTACTTTGGATCTCGATGTTAGGACTATGTATTTTGCACCACGTAAGACCATCCAGTATGCGAGTTCTAAACCAAATCCACCGAGACCACCAACTAATATGTATGATTTTTCAGGATTAAAGTATGTTCGTGGAATAGCGGAAACAACCTTCGATGCTGGTTGTACAACTTTCTTCGTTTCCTCCTCTCGAATCTTCAACAGAACTTTACCAATATGTTTACCAGTAGCCATATATCTGAACGATTGTTCAATCTGATGTTCCGAAAAGATCGTGGAAGGAAGTGGACGAACAGCACCGCTCTTTATTCCTTCACTGACGAGTCTTACAACTTCTTGTCTCTCTGGCCCATCAACTTCACTGATGGCGTCCAAAAGTATTCCATGGAAAGACGCGTTCTTCAAGAACACGGACATTCCTAGTGGCGAATCTTTTGACAAATCGTACTTTCCAATTTCGAGAAAACGACCACCTTGAGCGAGACATCTGACGCTAGCTTGTAGTTTCTCTTCGGCTAGCGAGTTAAGCACTATGTCTACGCCATGTCCGTTAGTTTCATTAAGTATCAGCTGTTCGAAGCTAGTGTCTCGAGAATTGCCGATATTCCTGTCAGTCAATACTGGGAACATTCTCTTCAAGAAGTCTCGCTTTTCTTGCGTTCCGACAGTGGTGAATACTTTGCATCCTGCGTGCAGGGCTATGGATATACTCGCTTGCCCGACGCCTCCACTACCAGCGTGAATCAGGACACTTTCACCGGGCTTCATACGACCTCGAACGCAGAGAGCATAATAACTGGTAGCATAAGCAACTGGAACGGTCGCTGCTTCTTCTAAAGACCAATTGTCAGGTACTTTCCACATGAAACCAGGATCAGCCACAACAGTAGTCGCCAAACCACGTGCTGGCACCATAGCCATAATTCGTTGACCCTTGGAGTCACGTCCAGAAAATTCAAGACCTAGTATACAATCTTGCGTAGCTAAATTTCCGGGAAGAGCGTCTGGTGGCAGCTTTCCAGTCGCCAACATGATATCTCTGAAGTTTAATGGCGCATAGTATACAGAGCACAACTCTGTGTTTGGGAATTTTTCTGGCTGATAATAGCTCAATGGGCTTTCAATCCATCTTAAACTGCTCAGATCACCTCTGTTCAAAGCGTTAATGTAAGCGTGTTCAACTTGAAGAGATTCTCTATTTTGCTGATCTAATTCAATATGTTTGTAGGATCCCCATTGACCTCCTCGTAGAACGTTAGCGACCAACTGTTTGTCCAGTTGTCCAGCATAAAATTTATTACTTAAGCTAAATTTGGGCATGTTCTTATCTTGAATGAAAACGTAAGACGCTTCTGCACCACCTTCTTCGAGAAGGATGCAATTCATAAGTCCAACCATACCTGTAAAAAGCATCACGTGTTGTTACGATTATTAAAATTATTTTAATAATTTATGGAAATATATATTTCCTTATACTTTGTGAAAAAAAAAAAAAAACACACTTACCAAACAATTCTTCACCCTGACAGACGAACAAGGGTCTCTGATTCTCAGCTACGACTTTTTTCAAGGCTGCTTTGACACCTTCTACCCACATATAATTCTTTTCCGTCAGTTGTATAACAATAGGATCCGGTCTTACTTTCTTCTTTTTGAGTAAAAAATAAGATTTTCCAGAAACGATCTGCTTGGCTACATACGCTAAATCTGGGTCTGTCAAATTAACGTCAGATTGGTCCGTTTCTTCCAAAAGTATAAACCCTCCATCTATTACACTGTCCTTTAAATTTTTCAATACATGTGACAAATTTCTAGACAATACGTTGCTAGCTATTACGAGATGTAAATCTCGGCCAATTGGTTCTCTTTCTTCGTTGAGTTTTACAACTTTTATATCTCGCCCTAAGTTGGCGTAGTGCTTACGCAAAATTGCAGCTAGTTGTAAATCCCCCTGAAAAATATATTAAGTAAGTCTTTGTATATTTTTTTTTTACAACTATATAGTTGTAAAATAATTACATTTATCAAAGGTTGTTCATAACACCATGTCTGTATGTGAGGCAAGAGTAGAGAATCCACAGGACGATTTCCAGACGCTTCGACAATTTTGATCTTGATTCCATATATATTTTCGAAAACCGTTAGTAGTAGTACATTAAGGGCATGAATTTTAGCCTTCTCTGGATCTTGTACTAATGGTTGAGAATTTTGATAAGGCATGAACAAGTATCTCTCAAGTCTAGGAGATCGGAACTGTTCTTTCTTTGCAATCAAAGAGGCTTTCATCTTTCTAATCTCAACACCTCCTGATTTAATAATATCAATATTTGGATAATTGTACACTGGAACACCCTCATCTTCCTTATAATTTTTAACGAAATCTAAATGAACAATAGGGTTTATGGCAGCATATTGCAAGCGAACTGGCACGTACAATCCTCTAGAATCTTTTCCAAGAATGGTGAATTGAAGCATAGTATCAATGAACGAAATCCAGTCGTTCGACCAGAGAAGTCTACCAGAGACTCCACCATTGTGGACTGATTTAATTCCCTGGAAGATTCCTGTATAATTGTATCCTCGCAGTCTGAGTTCCTTGTAAATGTCAGTGGGATTTAATTCCACTACTTCACCTTCATTTTTCACAATTGGTACAGGTACATTTAATAACATTTTCTCAACATTTTCCGGTACAGAAATTGTTCCAGTTACAACAACGGATCCACTCTCACAAATCTCGAACTCTCCAGTGCCCATGAATATGTTGATCAAAAACTTTATATTGCCTTCCTTCGGCATAATGGTAGCTCTTTCGAATTTTACATTCTCAAATGTAACCGGCAATTTCTCGTAGTCCGTCCCATGTAGTTTCGCGTAGGTTTTCCAAGTAATTATTAGGTAACCAGTTGCAGGGAAAAGTACTCTTTCATCGATACAATGGCCAACTAAATAAGCATCCGTTTCTTTGGCCAGATTTACCTCCACTACATTTTCACCAAAGGATTTAGATTTTCCTCCAAAACTGGCAACTTTCCATTCCACAGAATGGTCCCATCCAACCAAGTTATTGATCATTGGTGTACCACGACCAACTGGATATTTAACTGGTGAATACAACTTAGATACTTTGGGCTGTCCTCCTGCCAAGTATAATTTTCCTACATTTTCCAATAGGAAGTTCAGATTGTTTGTATGACCTCGTTTGTGTAGGCTAATATTGGTCACAGTCGGCGGCAATGATCTACGCAAGATTGCTTGTAACAGACAATGTGGTGCAATTTCAATAACTATCGCGTTATCTGGGATATGAGATAATCCTTGGTTAAATAATACAGGCGACAACAGGTTATTCACGTGATAAGCAGCACTGCTAAGTTGTGCCAATGGAGTGCCCCAAGCTGATTCGGGAAGCGATGTAGAAATCCATCTGGAAGATCTTTGTTTGGGATTTGAGATAATCTTCTCTAACATGACACGAAGCTTTTGACCTACTGGGGCTATATATTTACTATGGAAAGCGACACCAGAACTGTTTACCACTTTTGCGAAGATGTTATCCTTTTGTAAATCATCAGTGAATTTCTTGATAGATTCGACTGGTCCAGAAATTGTCACAGAGTCTGCTGAATTATTGCAGGCTGGTATTATGTCTGGTGGGCATCGAGCTGCTGTTTCTTCCCAGCTTAATCCTATAGCAGCCATTGCGCCTGGCTCCAATTTTGAGTCCATGATTGTCCTCCCTCTCCAATATGCAGCCAGAACCGTTTGTTCTGGAGTAAAGGTGCCATCTGCATAGGCACAGCCTAATTCGCCGACGGAATGTCCAATAATACCATCAGGTTGAATACCCAGATGTGTTAATACATCTACAAGTGCAACTTGAATGGCTGCAATTGACACAAACGAGTACACAACATTTTCATCAAAGGTCTCGGCCGTTCCATTTTGAATAAGATTCATTAAATCGACTCCTTCAGGTTTCAAAGCATCAGCACTTCTTCGTAAACTCCTCTGAAATACGTCGATAGAGAGCAAATCTCTACCCATTCCGGGCCATTGAGATCCCATGCCAGAGAATACAAACCAAATTGGACGATTGTCATTAACGTATGGACTAATTTCTTCGATCTTAACGTCTCCAATAATAGAATATCCCCGATGAAGATGACCAGCTATGTTATTCGCATGAATATCATGAAGCAAAGCAATGAATTCATCGTCTTTTTCATGTTCTCCCGCTTTGTCTAAAAGTAACTTCACAGCCTCTTCAGTACGACCAGATACAGTGATCAATTTGGGTATTTTATTGTCTAGAATTGGCGATAACTTTGGTTTAGGATTGCTACGAAGAAGTATATGAGCGTTGGCACCGCCAAAACCGAACGAATTCAGGGCCACGAGTCCACCTTTCCACGGCATGTTCTTATCAACGACTTGCACACTTCCGTCGCTCAATGCTGGTATGTCTTTATTCGGACTCTTGAAATGCAGATTACCTGGGATTATACCGGATTCCATAGCGATCAACAATTTTGCCATAGAGCATACCCCACTGGCTGCTTCTGCGTGTCCCATGTTAGATTTGACGGAACCAAGTAGCAGAGGACCTTTTCTACCTTTGCAGAATAGATTTGCGATAGAATTGATTTCTTGTGGATCTCCCACCTTGGTCCCTGTTCCGTGAGCTTCCACGTAAGCAACGTCTGCGGGATTGATACCTACTTCCGCGTAAACTTCACGCATTAACTTGTTCTGCATGTCTCCACTAGGGAAGGTAATTCCTTGACTTTTGTTACCGTCGACGTTAGTCTTGGAATGTAAAACAGTGGCGTATACTCTTCGCGCATCCTTTGCTTTTTGCAGAAAGATAACCGACACAGCCTCTGATCTGACATATCCTTTGCCATCGGCATCAAATGCTCTACACGCACCATCCTGAGACAACATGCCTAATCGATGAAACTGAAGAGACATCTGAGGCTTTAGGAGAAGGTTGCAACCACCGACGATAGCTGCATCACATTCCCCTACGCGAATTGAACGAATTGCGTGATGCATGGCGTAAAGAGACGAAGAACACGCTGTGTCTACTGCATAACTAGGACCGTTAAAATCGAACGTATATGAAATTCTGTTTGGAAACATAGCCCTGCAGCAGCCAGTTAATGCGTATCCTGTAAACAAATATTTAAGTAATTATTTTATTATTATTACCGTCATTATTAAGCTCTTAACATATTATTGCCACAAATATTAGGTTTACCTACCGTTAATTTTTTCCGAATCAATGGTCCAAAATTCATCTGATTCTGACGATGAAACACCAATGAACACACCAGTCTTGGATCCCTTAATATCGTTCGGATTGATACCAGCATCTACAATTGCCTCGTAAGTTGCTTCCAACAGCATACGCAACTGTGGATCCATTACATGAGCCTGCTTCGCATGAACCCCGAAGAAGGTGGCGTCGAATGATTTGAGATCCTTCAGTTTACCAGATCTCTCCGGTAAACCATAAAGACCGGTAGGCCAACGACGATCATCATCTGTGATCATATCGATGCCTTCAAATAAATTTTTCCTAAATTCTTCAATGTTTGCGGATTCCGGGAAACGACCTATAAAAATTTAAAAAAAAAATTAAAAATATTAAAAATAGTAAGAAAAATTATAATTTATAAATACGTAGATGCAATTCGAAATGCATCTATACAATATCTAATTACCCGAAAAACCGCTGATGACAATCTCGTCGTTGAGATTGTATGCGTTGGTATTGCCATTCATTATAGTCGGTTCTCTCACAATGGGTGTGTTTGTACTTTCAAATTGAGCTGGCATTGTGATAAATACTGAATGCAATTCTTCTTTATACACTCTTTATTTTTGCAGAATTTATCGAACGTGGAAGCGTAGTGGACTGTAGGCTGAAAATAAAGAATAAATAAACGTGTTTGAAAAATATATTTGGAATAACCGCATAATTTGTTATATTAATTTAACACGTATGTATATGTATAAATTTTTAACATACAATTGCTCTTTTCTTTTTCTCTGGCTAATTCACTCGGCAGAACAAATTTCTCAACTTTGTTACTGAAGTTAAAAATAATTTCTCTAATCTAAATATGAAGAAATTCTAAAAGGAAGAGACAGTTATGTAAGAATATCAATTGAGATTATTATTTCGATAATTAAGGCAGATAATAAAAGTCAGTGATAGTCAGCCGTATCCCGTTAAATATTTCAAACGTTTCAACAATCGTATATTAGATTACCGTGGAAGTATCTCCACTCGCGACATGCGATTAATTGAGTGATTTCAATTGAATTCATTCCCCGGTAAATCAGTTTAGCGGTGACTTTATACGCGTAAGATACAACTTTGCTTGTCGGTGTCACCAATCGACTTACATACATTTGTAATTATTTATACATATATATTTATATTTGATAATTATTTATGGACTTCCATAATATAATTTGTATATGATAATTATTTATACATATATATTTATATTTGATAATTATTTATGGACTTCCATAATATAATATGTATATGATAATTATTTAATAAACATTAAGTAACAAAATCGTATATTTCATGTAACTATCACGTGCCAGTATTTTATATTATATTAAATATTCATGCGATAATTAGAAAAATACCAGTTCTGACGTCAATTTCATTCGAATAGGAAATTTGAATATATATGATGAGATATGAATAAATTAGAGGTTTTCATCTTTACATAATTATTCGATTAGCTTTTGATTGAAACGCAATAGTAGAACACGTGATACAGTGTTGACCTGACCCCAACGCGGAGACGCGATATAAATTATATCATCCATCACACGTTACAAACTGTTACATCATAATTTGTTAACGCACTTCATGTGATAAAACTTATGATTCGTGTATGTCATTTATGTATGATTGTTAATTACGATCGTATCATACGATGTTCTTTTTTCCTATATATATATATATATATATATATATATATATATATATATATATATAGCAGCTTAATCCGCAGATAATGGATCGATTTACAAAGATTCACGATTAGAACGGTCGCGCGCACGAAGATATGATATTTCTCACGAGAACAGTTAATTAACAGATGAGGTAAGGGAGTAACGTTTCACGTTGATCTTCACGGTATCTTTTATTAGTATTTATCAAGATAAATTACATTTTCACAATTGGTGTACTATATTGACACCCGGCAAAGCAAAATTTTCCATTCAAAATTGTCATTTCGGCGATATTTTGGATGAAGTTGAAAACCAAGATTCATTTTCCACGAAAATTATTTCACAGTTTTCAAAATATTCGCAAAAATTTCTCGCTAGTATCATAATGAATTCTGTCCACATACGTGTAACGTAAAGTATACGTATAAATTTCACACGTGACTAAGAACAAAGGAAAAAAAGTCTTAGATTCCACTTTACCCGGTCGTCGTAAGATGATCGGTAACCAATGCTGATGAGCTGCCACAGGCGCACAATTATAAGCATAAATTGCCAGATAGCATATATTTTCTCGGATACTATATGTACAATATAGATAAAGAATATATTACAATATAGATATATGTACAATATAGATAAAGAATATATATTCTATTGTATATAGCGTTACTCATGTACATCGTCGAGAATTGCATTACTGGATTGCTCCAATTTACTGTACATATAAAAGAAACTTAATAAATCTATTTACCTATTTATATGTATATAATGTGTGTAAATTGTTTATGTAAGCGGAGAAGATTCGATGTAATAATATATGATTGTCACAAGAAGGCAGAAATATTTCAGAGATATATGCACGTATATAGTATAGATATAAATGTATGTCTAATTTTTATTTCCTCTTTTTTTTTTCTTCTTACAAATTATACGCTAAAAACACGAATATCATCTTCCTAAATCTCGTAGCAAGGTGAAATTATATCATATATCGAATGAAAAACTGTTACAGTCCTCTATTTTCGCGAGATCATCTCTCGAATTTTTTTCCTCCTTTTCATCTTTTTTTCCTTCCGGATATTCATTGCATACGTACACGCGCTTATTTTATTGTCACGTATGATAATTGTCGCAAATCGGGTTGCAAATTCTTGTATTTCTAATCTTTACTCTCACATCTCCTGATCTTAGAAACTCGTAATGATTCGCCAACTTTTTTCTTTCCTGTATTTTTTATTTATTCAAAAGTCAATATCTTTAAAATAGACAGTATAGTTACCGAGAAAATATGCACGTATACTCATAAATATCTTATAAATTCAAATCATAACATGATTAGCATACGAAATATGTAAATGTTCGCACGCTTCTGGTGTGTGAAGAATTGCTGATATTTAAACTATTATAATTTCATGTGTCGACTTGGGCTGATTTTAAAACTATTCTTATTTATTTTATTCTAAAACGTTTTTACATTTTTCTTCTGGAAAATACTATATATTGGATTGCAGGAAATTGAAAATTTCTTGTCATGATTAGATTGAAATTTTCCTTTACAACGAGGCTCTAAGACTCGATGTACGACTTTTTTTTCGCCATTTTATTTGAACTTTGAATATTAAACTTGGACAACGAAAATTCCAAGAAACGTTAATATTTCCATCATAACTCGCCTTCAATCTTTAAATCCACAATGAAAAAAATTGTTCAGTTTTTACATATTACGACAATTTATGGCATTTATAGAAAAATATCTTCACAGTCCCACAAATTATTGTGAAAATATCTTAGAATAAAATAAACGACGTATTTGGAAAGTAGACACATCAAACTAAGACTGATTGCAGAACGTTATTTTACGAAATAAACATTTGATCAACAACAGTAATTCCTTTGAATTAAACAACTTTTTTAGTGAAGTTCTCACGCTATTGCGTCAAATGCAAAAGTTGTTTTTTTTTTTTGCATTATAAAATCTATTTGAAATTATAAATAGTATGTTACGTGACACTTCTCGTAAGATATTTAATTGTATTTAAATGAGTTGAAACGTAAATGAAAAAACATTGAGAGCAGCATTAAAATTATTGAACAAGTATTAAAGAATATTAAAATTAATGTTCAATCTTGAATACAAAATATATATATATATATATATATATATATATATATATATATATATATATATATTGAATATAAAATATATGTATATACGCAATTGATTGACAATCTGATGTTATATGAGCCTCCAACTGACGAAATCGTTATGAGATTGTCACAGAAATAGTAAGTACTTATTACGCTTATATTATTTAGCAATTTAACTTACATATTTTTATTTCTATTTCTTTATTCATGTTATCATAATTACCAGCTTTTACTTCCCAATTCTATTGCTTTACAACAAAACTGCATTTTATTTCTGTTATGAACTATTACATTATTTATGTTAACATAATTATTAGCCTTTATTTTCTAATTTTATGTCTTTACAACAAAACTGCATTTTATTCTTACGTTGTTATAAACTATTACAGTATTCATATTATCATAATTACTAGCCTTTACTTCTTAACTCTACTTACCTACAACAAAACTACATTTTGTTCTTAATTTGTTGTGAAGTATTACATGAAGGTCGAATTTTTGCAACGTTACGTCAGCTAGGAATTTATATGTGAATTAATTTTACTATTATACATGTGTGTATAATAATATATTATATATATAATTTATGTTTGCTTAAACGATGAGACTTTAATTTTTAACTTTTAACGAGATTTTACAAATGACATTGAAGAGAATAAAGCATTTAATCATCGTTATTAGCTTTGTTATCAAAGAACATAATATCCGTACTGCACGCGTATATCGAATAATTTCATCGCGTAAAAGAATACAGCTAGACAAAAACTGATCACTCAGCTTTAGTGCTTCATGAGTTGGTCACGTGTTGCGCAGCGCAGGTGACTGTAGAATCAAAATATCTGTATCAATCAATGTAACGAATTGCATTTTCTACATATTGACGTAAATAAATTTTTTTCAATTTTACCATACCAATATTTTTGAATGGATTTACATCATTTAAAAATTATGATAATATTTTTTAGATTTTAGATATATTTGATTGTACTCATTCTGTACGACAAGTTTTGAAGTCCTTTTTCAATCATGAGTTTGAGAAGACACGAATAAATCATACTAGATAATTCTATAAATGATAATAATTATAATTATTATTAATTATAATTATAACAATAATATAGTAATGAGAGTTTGAAAATTACTAGGGAAAAGAAAATTTACTAATAAAAAGACACTAATTAATTAGATTATATTGGCAGATAATTGTTCATCCGAATTTGGCCAATTTTATTTATGCTTACGCCTGCTCATACTTTTTGTTGCGTTACTATCCAATCGTTGAGGATACTACGTGTACGACGCAGTAGTAAAAATTTATGTGAGTCAGACTAACACTGGCCACAAGATTAAACACGCGTCATTCGCATCGAATAAATATACAGACTAAGCTAATATCGACATGAGAGGTTCATTCGTGGGTTTCGTCCTTCTGAGAAAAATATATCGGTTAATATGCTTCACTGTACGCAATACGAATAAAAACTACAATACACATATAGATAATACCAGTCATAGAATATTATTCAAAAATAGTTAATAATCCATTTCTCAGATAAATTTTTTTGTTATCGAAATCAAACGTTATTTGATACAAACGTAAATTTCACGGCTAATCTATTAGATAATATTTAACGAGCGATTAGATTTATCATAAGATGATGATATTATGAGATTGTACTGAATGTGATATATATTTCGTGAAATCTCTTAAATGAAAATTGATAATCAAAATTAATAATTAATCGCACGATTAATTATCAACATTTTGAATAATATCACAAGTTATACTTTAATCGGAGCTATAGAAATTAAATAATTTTGATTTCACTATTACCAAACGTTTGCGACATAAAATTTGCACAGTTATAAAACAATAGGAAAATGTTTCACGGTTCTACAAATGAAACGTTGTATTTTTATTACGCTTGTAGGATTAAACAGTTCGCAGGAATGATAACAGTCAGGTACGTGCTAATGGATTTATATGTTAACGTGGCAATGACATTTTCACATTTAAACAGTTGAACATTTAATAACATACAATTAATAAGTCGAGCAATTCTTTATAACGTTTTCCCGAAGATATGCGTGCCACAATTATCGCAATAATTTAAATAATATTCAATCAGTAATCATATTTTGATAAATTTATCAATGGCAAAATGCTCAATCTCACAGTATTGGAAGTAAAATAACACCTACCTTACACGTAGATATAATCCTGACAAACAACGCCAATTCCCGAAAAATCTGCTGTGTTCAACTAACGTACACTATCGACTTAATATAACAAATAACGTAGATCTTGACGGACGACTTATAATAATGAGAATGAGCAGACAACGGAATGTGTAATGATATTTAACTAGAAAAATGGCCCTAGCTTTTAGTAATTTTTTTTAAAGAAGCGACGTGCGGTTTTTCTATCGATATAACCAGTAACACCACGAGCACGTCACAGAAAACTGGCTAGCACCTAGTCCGTGAGCATCTCGTTATTATTGAATTGGACAGACCCTATGGTCTGACATCAGACCATGTGGCGTCGACCAATAGGAATTCACGTTTCCGGTACGCACGCGCATGAGAATGGACCGGCGTTCTATCTTCCGTTGTGAATATTCCGCTTTTTCTCTGAATTATATTTATTCTTTTGACTGACACAGCTCTCCTTAAAATTTGATTGACTTCGACTACATGCAGCTGTCACATGTCAACTTGTCACGTTTTTATTTTATATAATTTTGAAATTATCGGTGTCGATAACTAGCAACTGGAATCGTTTGCCGCTATAACACGACGCGAGGAATCGATATTTTAGTGCAGCAATGTAAACGGCGGATTTTTAGAACATTTGCAAATAGATCCAATTATATGTAATTATTTATAATAATTATATTTCGTAATAGTGCTGTTGAAAATATTTTACGTAGTGCAGGTCATGAAGAATGTTAGAAGATTTTTTGCGTTTTCTGTTCGAAATGTTTAATTTATCTGTAAAAATGGAGGCGCTAAAAAAACGTTTGAGCCTTTTGTTACTCCTGTTCCAAGTTATCTTTTTTGTTTTTATAATAACAAATTATAATAAAACTAGAATTTCTGCGACAAAATTATTAATCTTATGTAACATAGCACTTTAACAGAAGTCGCTGACTATTTATTTTCTTATTTTATTGAATATTAAAAATCTCTAAATTATTAGAGATAATGAAATTACCATTAACAGGAGGAAATATTATAAATTATATTATTAATGCGCTGAGAAATATGTTAATTGGGCCTTGTCAAAAATAAAAGAAATATTATTTATTTGACATGAATCTATCTTCTATTTTTCTATATGTAAAACCTAAAGTTAAGTTCGCATAATTATTAGTTTATAGTGTTTAACTTTTTACTGATTTCAAAAGAGCCATTAAATCTTGCGTGATATGTCTTATTTTCATATGATCGTAACTAAAATAAAATTAGTCAATTTAATATATTTTGATAGAAGAAAAAGTATGTCCCCTCCTTGCCCCTTATTGATAACACTTTGAAAAGGTCTTTGCCATTGCCTCCAGTTATGTCTTCGCCACGTGTTATATCACGTGACCCGAAGAAAGAAACACAAGATATAGCTTTAGACTTAACGAGACTTTTGTACCACGATCCAAAGCAAACGGAGTCACTCTAGTTATCTTTGTTACAAAAGGATGTTCATGAACAAAAACATACCACATTGCAATTCTGTCGCTCTTCTAACTCAAGACTTACGTTACTAAAGATGATTATGTGACAATAATATTCGTAATAGTTTTTTTTTCTGACAAAACTATAGAATATAGTTAACACGCAACTACAAAATGACCATGAAAATCAAATCTCGAATCTCTTATCACTTTAATGCGAGGGCACGAACTATTGTCGTTTCTCATGAAAAAAAAATTAGTTTTTATGTTAATTCAAAAGTGTCGAGTTATTGCGAAAACCTTTAATTGCGAAATGTTATCAAATGTTATGTATAATCAGTAAAAAAAAAGATTGCGATATAATATATACTATATACATAGAATTCTAGATTTTTTTTTTTTATTTGTCACGCTATTTTGATAAAAGAATGAAAAGCTAATAAACATTTTTGTAAGGTCATTTTTGTTTGACGCTCGTGTCATGTAGCTGGCAAACTCATTTTTTACTTAAACTAATACTTGAAACCGGTTTCGAACGTAAACAGTGGTCACGCTGCGTTTACTTTTACTTACGTAAATTGATTTTGCATGCATTTTTGCAACAACTTAGTGACCAGTAACAAAAAAGAGAAATAAATAAAATACAATATCATACAATCATACAATTATTAACTTGTCTCAGTTTAGTCAATATATATTGGTAGAAATTGATATCGAATGAAAAATCGATAAAAAAGAAAACAATCTTGATGATTAACTTTAATGAATGGTGATGAATTATGGAATATTTCTTTTGTGTAATTAATTTTTCTTTAACTTAACTTGAGTCAAAGAGCAATAATTATTTCACATAATTAACGTGATTTTTTATCATTTATAACTTTTGTTAATTAATACAAATGCACTTATTTATAAAGATCTTTTTCCTTTCTTTTTCAGCTTTTCATTTGCTTCTTCCAACTTTTGAAGCTCAAGTTCAAAAACTCGTTGTTTTTTACGGCTTATAGGTGTTTTTAAAAGCCATGCTGTTAAAATTAAAATATACACATATTTATAATTTGCAAATACATATATATTTATACGCGGTACGCATACCTAAGAACGTATCTTCTTCTTCGCAAAAAATTGTATCTTTGAAACTTAACGCGTTTATTAATTCTCCATGTGTTAACGGATGAGTTCTTAATTGTACTATTCGCTTTGTAGTCATTACCTATTATACAACCATGTGTAAAATTGTAAAATTGTTATTAAAACAAATTTATATATAACACAATGTATAAATTTGTATTTTAATGTGATACAGAATAATATCTTTACTTACCTCGTTAATAGACGTTAATACTGTGCCAACAGTAAAACCATCACAAATTTTAGCCATAACAGATGTATCGAATTGTCTATTAATTCCGGGATGCTATGAATATAATATATATTATATTTAAATGTAATATATTTTTCGATTAAAAAAAAAATTAACGCATATCGTAATTTATAAATTAATAAAAAAATTAATACTTTATATAATAAATCTTTCCATATAAGAGACATAGATCCATAATCTGGTCTAGGAATATATATAACTTTATCATATGTTTGATATAAGAGTTTTTGATCTCCATCCCATGGCGAATTTGAAGTTCCTATAAGGATAACTCTGTCTTCATTTGTAATACTTTTTACTAATTTGGGAAGATCTTTTTTTAAACGTTTTGGATCAGTTTTATCTGTCTTTGACACCTTTTTTACAAATGGTTTCTCTGCTCCTTCCATGAATATCACTGATGGTTGGAGCAAACGTGATAGCTTCATGTAAAGAGAATTTAAAATAAATATTTATTTTTTAATTCATTTAATCATTTCTATTTTTCTTTTTTAACATACCTTTGATATTAAATGTATAAGCATAATTAATCCTGATTTTCCAGGATATTTTCCAGCAATATTAGCTGGTGTAATATCAAATAAAGTGGCTCCAAGTTCTGTGCAAATTGCATTTACTAACATCTTTTTGCCACTGTCACGTGGACCAGTTATTAACACTGATCTGATTAGAGGTGTAAGTTCTCTAAGAGTATTGTTTCCCAATGGAAGTATACAATATTCAATTATCAGTTGCCTTATGTCTCCTATTACATTTACATTTGAATAATTAGATTTAAAGAACTTATATTCTTAGTTAAAAAGTACTTAAAAAGCTAAAATTTGATTAAGAAATATAACATGTATACAACAGATTTATGAAACACTTAACCAAGTGCTGGTAAAGGATCCTTCTTTTTTTCTCTTAAATTATAATTTATAAAAGACTTTTCCCCTTGAAAACTAGTAAGGGGAATTTCTCTATGTAGCTTAATAATTCCTTGAATTAGTAATTCTTCAAATAATGATTCTATTGTTCTATCAGGTGTCAAATCCTTTTCTTTCCTTTTTTTATTCTTTTTTCCACTGCGGCGAATTTTTTTTTGAGCTTTTTTAATACGTTTGCCTTTAAGTCCTTTGTCTCTGTCTAGTGCTAATTGTAGTGCTTCTATGTCATCTTTAAATATAGTAAAATTGATTAATTTAATTATAATAAACAACATCATCATTATTGTTTTCATATTTTATAACTGTAATTGTAAGATTTACCTCTAAGTGCTTGGTCAACTGTAATTCGTACTTCATTTTCTACTTCCTTAGTTATTTCATTCTCTATCATGTCTAAATATGGTAACTGAGCAGCATTCGTTGCTTCATCTTTATTCTTCCATACTTCTTGATATTCTTGATTAGCATGTACTAGATCCAACAAAAAATTGGAAGGTACTGACTTAAAACCTTGCTCAGTTTCCTCCTCTGATTGTTCAGCATCACTGTCTTTTTTTGATTTTGATCTTTTAGATTTTTTGGATTCCTTTGATGACACTGCTGTAGATTTACTTATAGTACTCTCAGTTCCCTAAATAAGAAATTATGTACTACTTCAATTCAATTACATCAAAGTTATTTAGTTCTCAAAATGCTTGAAGTTAAAATACTAATTTAAATTTACCTGTCTGCTAAATATAATTCTAGAGCCTCCACTCTCAGCAGATGGCAAGTCGGGAATTTTTCCTGTCTGTTGAAAATAAGTGTTTACCCAGTTTCGAACTTCGCTTCTTATATTTTCTTCTATTATAGCGCTTTTCTCTTTACGAATTCTTTCTCTAGCTTCGATCATCAAATTTTCGTACAATTCTTGATATTTAACTTGTTTCTCGTATCTTTCTTCTCTAACTTTCTCAACTTGCCTGACACTTTCCGTTATTTCTTGACTCGGTTGAAGCATACCTTTGAAAATGAATAAATATATCTATATATTTATTATATACACATATATAAATAAAAATATACTATTTACATAGTATATATTTACTTATAGCTTATATAATTATAGATTATATATATTATAAATATATATAACTATATTATTAATATATATATCTATTAATAGTAATTAAATTACCAATTAATAACATTTCCTCGAGACGCCGTTTTCGAATTTTACATCTAGTCACGTATCCTCTCCAAGCTTTTTGAATTTTTATTACAGCTGCCTTTTCGATCGATTCGTCTTTCATTTCTGCCTCTGCTTTAATCACGGATTTATCCTTTATTTGACGAATTTCTTTCATAAATTGAAATCTTAATCGACCTTGTCTAGCGCGCTCATGAGCCTGATGTTTGCACAGGTAATATTTAAACAATACATACAATAATTTTACTTTTAAATTAGATTTAAGTCATTCGCACCTGTATAAGTCTTATCGCTTCAGATTCAGTCATCTTTTTTGGTACAACAATTTCATCCAAAGCACCTATATTTTTTAGAGTATTTTCTATATATTTCCGCTTCTCGACAATTTCTTGTAAACATTCACGTCTAAAAAATCTCGGAACCCGAATCTCAGCTTCTTGCGGAGTAACGTTCAATTTTATTAAAATATCATCGAAATAACTATACTCTGAAAGATCTATCTCGACTAACTCATGTTTCAATTCCAAAATTCTACCAAGACACGAGATCAACAATTGTTTTATTAATATGCGCTTTTGCGGTTGAATTACTTGATCGTAACACAGTTCTAATTTATTACAGATTAAAATATACCTTACGTATAATTCTGAAACTGTGTTATGTGCTTTTTTACGATCTTTTTGCGGTTTAGCGTTTTGTAAATTTGTATCGATTTGAAGGACTTCCTCCAGATCAGTTTGCGCATTTTTCCAAAGCTCGTTGTACGTCACACTTGACATGATCAAAATATCAGATCTTTTCTTTTTTACGAAAAAAATAAAATTACTGAAAATTAAATCGAACGACAATATGGGGAAACACTTTGCTTTATTCGTCTTTGTGATTGTTAGAGATTATTGATATCCTAGCAACCAATAATTGATCTAGTACTATGCATAGTTCTAAAAAATCTTACTTAAAAGAGATTTTATACTTATATACAGTTTTATCTTCTTACGAATGTTAGTGTGTCTAATTATTTATATAATTATTTTATCTAAGTATCTAAGCACAATTATATCAAATGAAAGTAGCATTTATTTTGAAATAATAAATACATAAATACAAAACATATTTATGTGATCTTATTCAAAAATTGGTATAGGATAATTATACCAAATTTATAGGAAAGGTATATTTGTACTTTATATTATATTTCGATTCAAATAGTGTGTTGAATGTAACATAAGAGGGAGTTCGATGCAACCGGCTATTCTCGTAACATGCTTCAGAGCATTCCGGCTGCCTGTTTCAAAACGTCATCTTAAGTGATCGCTTATTCACGAAAATAATTTCTGTAAATACGGTTCATCACCGATTAAAGGTGGTGATGAGAAGAAAGTATTTGCAATAATGGCGTCGGCATTGGAGCAATTTGTAAATAATGTGCGGACGCTCTCAAAACAAGGTACGATAGATGTTCGATCTTCCTTACATTCTTGTAAACCTAACCTCCAAGAATAATCCTGAAAAATTATTAAAATGTTCTACGTTACTCTGAAATGATGCTTTCCTCAAAAAAATAAGATTTGAATTCATAATGTTTTCTTATTGCAGTATTGACAGATTCCTATATTTTGATTTTATTCAGATATAAAAATTTGGTTTTTATATTAAGCATATTTGTGACCAAATCTTAGGTGTTAAATCATAATTTTTCTCTGTCACAAGAACCGTATAAGATTTTTTCTTAAAATTTTTAATATTAAATACATATTAGAAATATATGCGTTCGTTAAAGCAATGTTCCATTGTATAAATAAAATTATAATATTTTTCTGAAATAATTATTAAATAATATTATTCAATTGTCTTTTATTTCTTAGGTAATTTTAGAGAGCTGTCTGAGATAATAACTAAAAGTACAGATGTTCTTATAAAAAATGGACAGCATTTAGATAATGTTTTGGAAACTCTAAATCTACAAGAACACTCATTAGGTATTTTGGCAGTATTATGTGTGAAATTTTCATTGCCTAATCCTAATGGTGCGAACAATGTCGATGCTTATAAACCATTATTTAATCAAGTTCAGGAATTTATCATTGGTTGTAATGGAGAACAAGTTAGATTTGCTTCTGATATATGTAAGTTCTTATTTTTCTCTCTTTCTATTCAGGAATATTCAGAAATTTTTATCTTTTGTTTGCATTATTTACATTATAGATGCGGAATTATGCCACTTATTTACTCAAACATTAGTTGAACTACAAATACCATTGCGTGGTATTGAGCTATTATGCCGTGCAATACGTAAAATACAATTATTTGATAGCCAGCTTACTTCAATACATGCTGATCTTTGTCAACTTTGTCTTTTGTCTAAGTGTTTCAAGCCAGCGCTTGAATTTCTTGATATAGATATTACTGGTATCAGTCAAGAAGAAGGACAATTTGATTCAAAATACTTTTTACTTTATTATTATTATGGTGGTATGATATATACAGCATTAAAGAATTATGATAGAGCATTGTACTTTTTCGAAGTGTGTGTAACAACACCTGCCTTGGCAGTTAGTTACATTATGTTAGAGGCCTACAAGAAATATATTCTGGTCTCTTTAATTTTGCATGGGAAAGTTTTAAATTTACCTAGATACACGAGTCAAGTAGTTAATAGGTACATGAAACCTTTGGGACAACAGTATCAAGAATTGGCTACAGCTTATCAAATGAATAGTTGCGAAGAGGTACAAAATATTATCACTAAATATCAACAACTGTTTACAAGGGATCACAACATGGGACTGGTGAAACAAGTGCTCAGCTATTTATATAAAAAGAATATACAAAGATTGACAAAAACTTTTTTGACTCTTAGTTTAAGTGATGTGGCTAGTAGGGTTCAATTATCTGGACCTGCTGATGCAGAAAAATATATATTAAACATGGTAAATATATTTTTTATTTATATCTAAAACAATGTATATACAGATATTTGTTAAAGATATTTTATGTTTATGATTGTAGATAGAGGATGGTGAAATTTTTGCAACAATCAATCAAAAAGATGGTATGGTGGTGTTTCACGATGATCCAGAGAAATACAATTCACCACAGATGTTGGCAAAATTAGAAAAGGAAATGGCAGCATGTATGGAACTGGACAAACGAGTTCTTGAAATGGAGGAAGAAGTTGTTCTTACACCACAATATGTTCGAAAAGCTTGTGGACAGAATGATCAAGATGATCAGACACCTGGACCTGCTCCAACAAATGTAACAAATGTGCAAGGTCAATCTAAACATAGCACCTATTCCATGTAACATATACACGTCGTTGTGCGTTATCTTTATTAAAAAAGAGAAAAACCGAAGCAAATCTTGTTGAAAGCAGAGACTTGAACTTGACTTAGAAGCCTGTTTTGGATGAAAATGAATATCCAAAATTTGGCTAAACATAATCTATTTTGTACAAAATAAAAAGAACATTGCTATCTATCATTATGTGGAATTATAATTGCTATTAAAATGATAAAAGTAACAAAAAATATGAAAAATTAAAAAATTTCCTTTTTATAGTAAATCACACATGTATCCTTTCTGGATCTTTCTAAAACTGAAGGCTGATAGATAAGCTATAAGTTATAAAGCGTCTGTGAGGAGTTACTAATTTAAATATGCTTTATTTTCTAAGCCTTATATCATTAGTTTTTGTACAAAATATACTATGCATAGAATGGAATTTAAAATTATTTCTTTTGTAATTACTTAACATCTGAAGCAGGCTTTATATGCAATGCAACAAAGAAATTGTACATGTTGTAGTTAGAATATTGTGATACATAGCTGCAAAATTATCACATTTTTAACATAAATCACATTTTATTCATATATGGGCATTTTCAAATTCATAAAAATTCATCAATTCTGATAATGCAACAATGACATATGTACATACATTTCTCACAAAAAGAAAAGTGAAGAAATATAAGAAATGTACTTATCATTTATAAAAAAAAAAAAAAAAAAGAAATCGTTCAATACACAATTGTGCCAGGTAAGTACACTAAGCTCTTCAGCTCAGTAAAAAGCAATTGTCCATTTATATAGGAAATTTAATATACAGAATTAAAATGTATGATATTGCAATTACTTTATTTCAAATTTAACAAAAAAATATTTAAGATAAATGATTTAGAGATTATTACAGAAAATATTTCAGAATATTAGTTATATCTTATTCTAAATATTGAAACATTGGAATGTATAACGAATGTTTTTTTTTGGAACTAATGTTTGTAACATCATCATCTTTCTGTTAAATGATAGCTAAATATGCAAAACCAATTTATTTATTTTTTATAGTTCTAAGTGTTTTTCTTTTTATATGTAATAATAATTAAGATTTTACGATAATAATTTTTTTATTTCCGTAAAAATCATTTGAAATATTTCTTCTTTACTTTTAGAACCATCAATGAATGTTGTCGTGTTACAAAAATCATTATCTTTTATTAATTCGTCTCTATGCTTTACATATTCTGGCCATGTTACTTTTTCGAAATACCCAGGAACATCTGGTGGTTCGTATACTCTTCCTTTCCTTCTTTCCCAACATTCTTCTTTTGTTAATGTTATGAAATATTTACGGTCACATAAATTTGAAATAACCTCACATTTAAAAAGCAAAAACCCATCTAGTATTAATATATTCTCAATTGTTTCTGAAGAACTTTCTTTACTTGGTGACGATTCAATTAATTGTAAAATATCTGAATACATTTTGTCCATATCCATACTGGTTATCAACTCCCAGTTGAAATGATTAAGCTCATTTATTTTTACATGTCGTGGATCATCTTGTGGCAAGAAATAGTTATCTTGATGTATTACCACTGAATTTTTCAACTCCTTCTGAAGTTGATTACTCAAAGTAGTTTTTCCGCTGCATGTTGCACCCGAAATACCAACTATAAACCATTTCTTTGAAGACATTTTCTTTTATTAGTAATTTTACTTATAATTCAGAATAGGTTAACTTGAACTAGATGGATATATGAAAAGTATAGATAATAGTAGTCTAGTTATATAAGTTCATTATCTTTATTATTAATTTAAATAAAGTGAGTCAGTGTTTCTCAACACAATTTAGTTAGCAATATATAATAAGGTTTTTTTATTTACATTTTCTTTGTAAAATAAATGTTATGATTCATGAGATTTATTTGATTTAATATTAGAAAAATACGGCTTAACATGATAAATTGTAAATAATACTAATCCACCAATGAAGCACAAACCAGAAACTGCAGGAACTATTAATGCAATATTGTGAGAACCAAAAAATGATCGTATTCTGTTATCATCAATGAATGGTAAACCAATGATCCATACAGTATAATAGAGAAATAAAAAGGAAGTCACAATTAATGTCACTTTACCTTTTCTACGATCGCTGTTAAACATTTTATGTTCAATTTATAGTAGATTAAACATTTATATATAAATGTATAAAAAATGGTATTGCTTTACAGATGAAATACAAATAAATGTTTGTATTTCTACAATGATATAATAAGTGAAGTTTACTAATTCGTATGCCTAACATATAATTCAAAACATGTAAAATTATTGATCTATGTACTCTTTCTCAAACTTCTTAAAATCTTCTTCTGTAAATGCAGTAGTTTCAGATTCTTTAGATTTCTTTTCTTTAGGAACGTACTTCTTCTTCAAAGCTCTAGTTAATAACTAAAGTAAAAATTTTTTTAATTAACAGAACTTATTTTATGAATAATTTAAAAATTTATGAAAATATCGAATACCTTGTTTGTTGTATTTGGATCGATGCGATTATTACTAAATGTTAAAAGTCTCTCTACATTTTCATCAGTAAGATCTTTTTGTGCAGCTAACTTTTTTTGAGTTTCATAAACAGTTACTCTGCTTGATTGTCCAAGTATTGTGCTGAGATCTTTAAAAATATGTTTGGTTAATTGATAAACAATCGTTTATATCATTTTATTTTGGAGATGATAAATACCTGTTTTATCGGTTTTAGATAATATTCTGTGTTTTGAAGGGATTAGATCCAGTGAACCTTTATATTTTATGTGTTTTCGTTTCTTTTTTTCTGTAAAATAAACATTTTTTTATGAAACGTGAAATATACTTTTGTAACCTATACAAATTAAAGTAAATAGTAAAATACCTTGTTTTACATGGTTTTCATAACCCAGTATTTCAAGACCTTTCCGTACAAGTGAATTTGACATTTTTATAAAATATTAAATCAATTTTTTTTATGTATCATATAAAAATATCAATTGCGAATATCATGATATATATCTATGTTCAATACAATAGAATCAAGAGAGGACTATAAGCATGCCATCTGTATAGCATATTTAATAAATATCTCCAAACTAAATAATTTTTTATTTTTGGCTTTATATTTTTTAAAATTTTATAAATATTTTATTAATTTTTCTATTTTGTGAGACAAATATTTTTTTATTAAAAGTAAATAAATAATAAAATAAATGAATTAATTAAAAATATTTTATATATGGATTATTAGTCATATTTTTTGAACAGATTACTAATCATTTTTAATTAACAAAAAGATAATTAAAAGATCATTTATACTTTTACTATTCTATACTGTTTATTGTAAATCGGTATAATTCATGGATTTTTTGTTAATAAACCATGGGTATGAAAGACCAAAGATCTCTTTCAAGTAAAAAATCACAACATTGTATTTATATTGTATTTATATTGTATTTATATTGAATAAAATTTAAAAAATATTGAGGAAGAAATTGACAATTATAAAACAAAAATTAACTTAAAACAATGTAAAATCTTTATTGTAAATATTGATATTTCGCAATAAATATAATACCCTAAGTCTAACAATAAGTTTATTTGAACATAGTCCGAGTTATGTAGTTGTCAAACATGTTCGAATGTCAGCTGTAATCGATTACTAATTCTGAAGAAATTGATCTTCTGATTTTTGAATTTGTAGAGGAACATCAAAATTTTATCTTTAAAACGTCAAAATGCACGACGCTTATGAAGAAACGTCAATATTAAATATTTCTGTTCAAATAGAATCTATGGCTGCGTATGGTAGGAAACATAACCTGAAAGTTAAAAGTTTTTAATCCGAAATATATAATTTTATGTAAATGTATTTATCATTCTTCACGTGTAAAATTATTTTTTATTACACCTTCATAGAATGTACTTTAAGTTATTTATTTTTACTTTAATATTTCATATTTATATGTAAGTGTAAGTGAATAATAGCGAAGTGTTTCAGATGACAATTTATTAATTGGAACAAGAGAGGGTCATCTTCTTATGTATAATGTACCTTCTGTATCAGATGATAATCACAAGTTAGAATTATTACGTCATAGCAAAAATTTTAATAAAAAGCGTATTACTCAGATAGATGTTGTATCAGAATATAATTTGCTTATAATTTTAACAGGTATGTTTTTTTAATCTTCAAACTTAAAATAAAGATGGAGATATTTAATTTATTGTGTCTTTTTACAGATAATATAGTATGTATACATGATTTAAATTCTCCAAACTTTCAACAACTTTATCAATTACAAAAGACTCGTGGTGCCACATTGTTTGCTTTAGACATAAAAAATGAAACTGTAAATGGAGAAAAAGAAACAGTTGTGCACTTATGTGTTGCTGTGAAACGTAAGCTACAATTATATAGTTCAAAAGGGAAAAAATTTGAAGCATTTAATGGTATTGAATTGACTGTACCTGATATTCCACGTGAATTGTCTTGGTATATATTGTTTATCACATTCAAAATAAATTATTTATTTTTATACAATAATAAAATATCTTAATTGTATTAAAGGTGTGGTGAAACATTAATTTTGGGTTTTCGTGGCTTGTCATATACAATTTTGGATTTAAATGGAAAAACTAAAGAATTATTTCCAACTGGGAAATCTCCTGAACCAAGTGTTACAAAATTGTCTGATAGTTCCTTTGTATTAGGGAAAGATTCTCAATCATTTGTTATGGATACAAGAGGAGAACTAATTCAGCATAATCCAATAAAATGGACTGATACACCAAGTGCAATAGGTATAATATATATAATTGTATATTGAAATATGATAAAAACATTTACTTATTTTACATTTATCATTTATTGAATTATGTATAATAATATAAAAATTGAATTATTTCAGCTTGGGATGATCCCTATCTACTTGGAATTGTACATGATAGATTAGAAGTATATACTATAGAAGGTTGTCTGCATATTCAAACAATAAAAGACTTAAACAAAGCTAGACTTATATATAGATGCAAACAAGGAAAAGTCTTTGTAGCATCAATTAGTCATGTTTGGTGTGTGAGAGCAGTTGATGTAACACATCAAATCAGAACATTATTAGAGCAAACTCAATTTCAGCTAGCAATAAAATTAACTGTATGTTAATAATATTTATTGTTTTATTACAATACTTATCTGTGTCAATCCATTTTAAAATAAAATCTTTTATTATTTTAGAGCTTATCGGATATATCCGAGGAGGAAAAACAGAAGCAAATATATAAGATTCAAACACTATATGCTCATCATTTGTTTCGTAGCAAAAGATTTCAAGAAGCAATGGATCAGTTCTTAAAAATAGGAACAGATCCTTATGAAGTGATAATGTTGTTTCCTGATTTAGTTACACCATCTAGTAATAACCCTGAAGTCAATGATCCAACTTTACCTAAACTTCAAGACCGAGATTTAGAAAAGGGCCTCCGCGCATTAATCATTTTTCTTACTGAAGTTAGACATAAATTAATGCGTGATGCAAAACCTAAGGATAAGGAAAACAGTGAAGAAAAATCTCTAGTAGATGGGAAAAAGAATATGACAGCAGTAGCTACAGAGCAATTATTAAAAATTATAGATACAACTTTATTAAAATGTTATCTACAGGTAATTTAGAATTTACTAACAATAATAAATGGTTACAATTTAATTTTATGAAATATTTTTGTAGACTACTGATGCGTTGGTAGCACCGTTACTTAGATTAAACCATTGTCATTTGGCAGAAGCTGAAAAAACTTTATTAATGCACCAAAAATATCCTGAACTTATTATATTATATCAGACCAAGGGACAACACAGGAAAGCATTAGAACTACTTGAAAAGCATGCAAAAGAAAATGATTCTAGTTTAAAGGGTACTGCAAGGACAATACAATATTTGCAACAACTTGGTAAAGATCATATGGATTTAATTTTAAAGTTTGCTGGTTGGGTTTTGAATGAAGATCCAGAGCAAGGACTTCGAATCTTTATGGAAGACATGCAGGTAATACGTATGATATAATATTTGGTGATTCTTTTATAAATTATATTTGTAATTTTAGCAAGTTGAACAATTACCAAGACCAAAAGTATTGGATTATCTTCTTCGTTGTCACAAAGATTTAGTAATAACGTATTTGGAACATGTAGTACATGTTTGGGAAGATACTAATCCTTTATTTCACAATGTTTTAATACATCAATATAAAGAAAAATGTTTAGCATGTATGAGTGAAAATGCTACACCAGCTGAAAAGCAAACAGCTCAACATATAAGGCAAAAACTACAACAATTTTTGGAAAAATCTACGCATTATACTCCTGAAACAATATTAGTGCATTTCCCGTTTGATAATTTGTTCGAGGAACGTGCAATTATTCTTGGAAGACTTGGACGTCATCAGCAAGCGATTTCAATTTACATTAGTCTTCTTAATGATATACCGAAAGCAACTGAGTATTGTTATAATGTATATACTAGGTATCAAAGTACGTGTTAACATAAACGTTAAAAAGATTTATTTACAATTATACACATGCAATTAATTTTTTATTTCTCTTACTTATTCTAGATCAAGAAAATGTAGATAAACAGAAACAATCCGACGGAGCTGATGAAGTTTATGTTATGCTTATTCAACAATTATTGAAACCCGACAACGAAGGAGTTTTAATGACAGGTAAAATTTTGCTTTCTTTTTAAAATAACAATTAGTATTATATTACTAGTAGTTAGTATACTAGTAAATATGATATAATGCTTATAGAATTATAAATATTATAAGCATTATGTCATATTTATATTAGGATGTAGCCCTGAAATTCAAAGAACAGCACAACCTGATTTGGAGATGGCACTTGAGCTGCTTGAGAAACACGCATCGAAGATAAATCCGTTAAAGGCATTAGAGGTTCTCCCTGATACAGTTCCTATTGGTAGAATAAAGCATTTTTTAGAAGTCAGTTTGCAGGAAAAATTAAATGCTAGAAGAAGAATTCAAGTATTAAGAGGTTTACTTTACGCCGAACATTTGCAAGTACAAGAGCAACGTATGCATTATGAATCACAGAGTGTTCTTATGACAGAATTCAATATATGTCCAGTGTGTAAAAAGAGATTCGGCAATCAAAGGTCGGTATGCAAATATTATATCAAATATCATTGAGTGTAAGTATCTTACAAATAAATTTCAATGTAAATTATTTTTTAGTGCATTTGCGAGGTACCCGAATGGTGATATTGTACATTATTCGTGTCAAGATCGTAAGGTATAAGCTATATTTAATTTAAATGTAATTGTACTAGTTATTGAGTAATGTAAAATGTACATTGTGATGTCCTTCTGCTCATATTGTGTATATACGTGTATACATGTTTCATTTACCTTCTATTCGCTGTGATGTATTTTTAAACTTATTTCCTATTTAAGAAGAAATGGGAAAAGATTGTTTTAATTATATTATTTGTATACATGTTATTTTTAAACTGTAATTACAAATAATGGAAAGAATTTTACTTTTCAATCTCTCTTAAGTTTTAAAAAATATCAAATACAGATATTTCGATAATTAACTTCCAATTAGGGAACGATGAATTGTAACGAATGCGATTATTTATACTGAATATGTACGTTTTACTGTTTGATTTGGGACATTCTTTTATATTTAATTTTCCTTGAATGTTCAAAATAAATTTTCTCGTGTAATTAAGTAGTTATCATACGAATTTTCGTAATAATGTATAACGGAGAGGATGGGGCGTGCCCAGTGTAGAATATGGGTAAACGGGACTAGTGATGTCATAAGTTATCTTGTATTCCTACGCCGGCTGTTAGCTAGGTACGGTACCGAATCGGTACTACCGATACAAGTGTAGTTGTAAACGCGTCATTTAAATTTGTCCAATAAAAAATTGATTACTTGTTATTCTCACGATAAAATTATATAGGTAACAATAAAAAAAATTATTTATACATTTTTGAACGATATAAACATGCAATAAAATAACTATTTTAACAGATATTAATATACATATGTATATATATTTATGTGTTCTCTATATTATCAGTAACGCAAATTTTATAAAAATCTATTTCACAGTCTCTTTAATTATAAATTTTTCCAAAAAACTGAAGAATATTCCATTTGTTACAAAAAATGCCTTTTATCAATATATATAAGAGAATATATGTATGTATATTAGAAAATCATTATTGATAATGTAATGTAATACAAATATATAAGAACACACTTATTTCAATGACTAATATATACACTAATATACATCTGTTGCAGTTTTGAAAATAGTATAGAACGTTTGTCCCGTCATAAAATTTTTAATTGATAATTAAAAGGACCGCCTGTTAAAAAAGTCTAATCGTTCTGTTGAAATTGCAAATCGGTTTACTGCAGGCATTCATAATCTCACGCGTGCTTTTCATTGGTGGATGAGAACTGGGACTAGCTACGCTGGCGTAGGTTGACGCCGTATGCGCTCAGTCAGTTGCGCGCCGGTCGAGTGTGTGGATGGGTTTGTGTGGATCGTTATCGGTGGTTTTTGGTGTACATTGGCTGGTTTTTATGCAAGTACTGGGATAAAACGTTGTCGCAGGGTATCCTCACGAGAAGGTATGTACAGCATTTCCTTTGGTTTCAGTTCGAAAACGCAAAAGCGGTCAAATTTTACGATCGGCTGTCTCGTGACGGCTCGGACTTCGCAGATAAAAATGGCGTGTGCCGCCTTAGCTTCTCCAATTTCTCTTTACTTTTGAATCGTCACACACCATCTCGTTAGACGTATACTTTGACAGCGCTCGAACGGCACTCGTATTCTAATGGTACGTGAGATCGTTTGTCATTTATCACGACCGCTTTGTTTCTTACAATTTCTTTGCTCAAATGCGGCATTGATTCTAGTAACAACGGAAAGTATGCCCACTGTGCAATTAAAATATCATTTCGTCTTGCCTTGTCGATTTTCATTGAAGCACTCGTAATTTCCTTCTTCGTATATGGTATAATACCAAGGAAATGAAAACGAAAGATACGTTTTTCCGGTACAAAAGTAAAATTATCCGTGTACCGTGCAACAAATTGTATAAAGGTGTACCCCAAAAACGCGTACCGTTGTGAATCTGTAAAAATTTTTATGAGAAATTACAAACTAGCCGTTTTAACTACTTTGATAATTCTCGTGACTGCACGATAAATGTGCTAAAACGATACGCCTTATTCCTTTTGAGGTAAGATCGTTGTGCTCTCGGGTTCTGTGTTCATTTATAGCGTTTTAATTTCCGCTACATGGTGTCTCCTGAATGGTTTTGTTCACCTGTCAAGACGCCCTATCTGTCGGTGACCTAATTTTTGCTCTCCACTGAAAATCTGTCTGGTATTGTGCTGTCGTTCTGCTCGCCGGAATGTCAGAATATATCGTTTTCTGTAAAATCGAACCTTCTTTTTTCAAGCTATCGTTGACCTAAAAATATATATATTTGCAGTGTTTTACAAAATACGCAACGCGACGTAACGCGAACATTCCTGGAATCTTGAAGGTACGCTGTATACCATAATCTTACTGTTTGCAGTTCTTACAGTCTTCTAGAATTTTTCATTGTACATACTTCACATTGAAAAATCTTTCCGCGGTAATCTAATCATTTAGAAGCGTGTACACGGTGTTGTTTCATCTTGATAATGCTGTAAAATGGACATTTAATGATGATTGTGTTTCGTGACAAAATGACATTAAATATAAATGACGAAATATCATTCATATAAAAAGTGTAAATATCTATATTCAAAATATCCGTAACTGTGATATAGACACCGGTGAATAATTTTTATTTATATTTACCCAGTGTTCGCAGTGACGTTGATAAAACGAGCCAATTATGTACCGTAGTTATTTAATTGATGCCGGATTGTTGGTCCGTTCGGTGAAAATGATTTCGTCACGATACCGAATTCGGTGCTGAGTCATTGTCAGAAACCTTTCTCGTTGCTCGTAAAATGTTATAATAAATCTGTACACGACGGGAGATATTACGAGACGAAATTATTGCTATCGATTTTAATTGAATCTAAAAAACTCTCAGTAATAAAGTCACATCTATATTTGTTCTTACGTTTATGACGTTCAAGAGTAACACTATGAACAAACTATCAAAATTTTAAAAATCTTGGCTACCAGTTAAAAAGTTCAAACGTAATTGTATTAGAAGTTATTATCTTGGAAAACATTGTAACAATCGTATGATGTATCTAATTTTCGATTTAGTAGTAGCTCTTGGTTGTTGTGTTTACAGTTACGTCACCGTTGCCGGGTTTGGGCGTGTGCGCGTCTTCGGCATAAATTAATAAATTAGTGTCGTGTCCTTCCGGATTGTGTTTTCGGCGACATCTGCCTGTATCATTTACACCGGAACAATGTTGGTGCATGAAAACGTTACATTACGCTACGCAAACTATATATACAGGGTGTCTTCAACTTAAGTGCCGAGGCGTATATCCCAAAATGTCGCGCGTATCATAAATGATACACGGTGTATAATTTGGGAAAAAATTATATATTTTTTAGCCTTTTGAGAGCTTGAAATTTATTTATTATTGCAATATTGAAACCACTATGCAACAAAAAAATAATTTTATGAAAAATGTACAAAAATAATGAAAAAGTTAAAGCAGAAACTTCATTCACCGTGTATCAAATTTGGTATACGCGACACTCAACGTGTTAAATTGCAACAATGTTGTTCATAACTCTGTAACAAACCTTTTGGTGTCGCATTTTATATAACATTTTTTCTCTTTTTATGTGTAGATCAATCCCTTGCAAGTTTGGTACACCCTACATGTAACTTTACGGAAGTTCGGATATTAGGATATTCGGATATTCGGATAATGGGGGTTCGGATAAGAGAGTCTCTACTGTATAAATTATAAACTTTTACGACTATATTGCAAGAATGTAATACGATAAATTCAGAATTATATTTATAATAGGACATGAATTACTTATTTGAGAAATATAAGTAATTTATATACATATCATTCAATATATATCATTCGAAATAAATTACAATTACACTGTGAGAATAATACTTAAGGATGTTTTTTTTTTTCGCTACAGTTTCTATCCTTATTTAAAAATTTGACAATTATTTGAAAAGTGCAGATAACATTTGTCACGAGTGATTCGTAAAATATTTCCGTTTTGCATCCAAATGAATTTTTTTTTAGAGTTTAGTGTCTTTCTTGTAACAATCATTGTTTTATGTTTTGATATTGTAAATCGCCCTCGACGATTCTTAATCTTTTGACTAACAATAAGTCATCAGGAAAGTAGAAATCTATTGCAGTTGATGCTTGCTCAGTCATGTCTTATCTTGTTCAATGCGTTCAGTACCCTACGAGGCTTAAGAAATTTGTTTAGAAAATGAAAAACACACCGAAGAATCGCATTGTAATCATTTATCGTGATATTTATCCAAGAAATAGTCGTTGCTTAAATACGATCGTTAAAAATGACCATTGATAAGTTTCTAAAAAAGTTATATGCAAATTACATATGTACATGATGTCACCAATCTATATATACATATTGTGAATATGTACACATTTGCATAATTGAATTAATATTATTAGTGAAATTTTACAAATTACAAATGAATTCTTTTATATAACAATTATGTGTTTAGTGATTTAAAAAAAAAAAATGGACTTTTACAACTTACAAGCTACTTAATTATACTTTTCGACGAAAAACTGTAAAATTGCAAAAAAAAAATAATTGGAATCTACATATAGTTTACAATTTAGCGATATCATTTGTTAAATTATTGTGTAAGAAGATTTAGAAGTAAGAGAACAAAAATTTTAAACAAAATTTGAATTTTATTTATAGATCAGATATAATATAACTTGTCATGTTATTTAATTGGTTCACCTGGAAAACACAGATCTTTACTAAATTTAATAGCCATGTAAATCTTTCTAAAAAGTATCGCTAATCAATGAACGTAAATTCTATTAGCATTTAATGTAAAATTACTACTCCAGCAAATTATATTAGCAATAGATTCAGTAATACAAGCAGCATAAATTCAATTACGTTACTAATCATCAATTTAAACATTATTTAAATAATTTTAATTACTGATAAATATTCTAGATGAGCATTTGTATCTGTTACACTGTCGTGTTCCTGGAGGATACGTTATTAAGCTCTTCTAAGAATACCTCGTGGGATGTTTTTAAAATTTCTGCCCTGATTAGTACAAGATTACTTTTATTATGCGCTATCGGGAAACGATACTGCGGCGTAATATTTAAGTGGGAATACGTACTAGGGACATTGAACCTCTCTCATCAATTTTCCAGCTTCCTATCAGTGTATACTTTTTTTTACATTAATTGTTTAATTTCTTTTATTATTAAAAATAGGTCGAAATCTGAGTTTTGGAATCGCAAAACTCAAATTTGGAACTTTCTGGAAGTCCGGAAATTTAGAAACTCAGAATGCTTATTTTTGTAAAGTTCCTTTATCGTAAGATCAGGTTAAAAATTTTTCTCAACAAATCAAATTATTCTTTAAATCAAAATCGCTACAATCCAATAATAATAGTTATCTTTTTATTGTTTGCAAAAAATTAAATTTTGATGTCTTATTTTTTCTCGATATAGACGATTGTAACGAAGTGGTGATATCATATCAGTTAACAATTAACTTATTATGATAAGGAACTATATTATTATAGTTATTTTTTAAATGTACGATGTGGATTCGTAGATCATTGATTGGCACAGAATCTCTAGAAATTAATTATATTTTCTTTTCCTTTATTACCTACTTATTTTTTTTTTACTATATCCTCATTCACTTATTTCATAATTTAACTTTTTTTATTATTTTCTAAATTGTTTTCATGTATATACATTTATCTTCTTAGGATATTTTTATATAGAGTTTATCCCAGTAAAAATTAATTCAGTCATTGATTGGTATTGCTTTTGCTTTTTTATTCTTGATAGAGAAACTAGTTACATAGGCCACTTTGCAGTTCTTGTCCCAGTGTCATCGACTAATTAATCGATATTGAGTTTCTTAACTGAAATGAGTTTAATACGGCGGGAAAGTTCTTGTAACCGGAAACATTGCTCTCCGGTTCGACAATTGATAAAAGATATTCCAACTTTTTCTTTTCCGATTGTACGCAGTTATCTAACTATCATCAAATTCACAATTATTTTCTCTATCTCGATTCGTCGTATCATTTTAGCGATGAATCATGTTCAGTGTATTTATAAACGAGATTTTTTTTACTTCCGGGCCAAATTTAAGCGAGAGCAGGATTGAAAATCATTTACTTCGATTACTTTTCCTTTCAACATAGTTTTTCAATAAAAGTATTACAGATGCTTTTAAATTTAGTGTTTTAGTATAAAAATAGTGAAGCTTAACCAATAAGTAGGTAACAATCAGAATTTTTTATTTTTCAAAATATGTTGATGTTCCCTGTATTTTTAAATAAAATTATATTGTAAGTATTAATTATATAATATATGATATTTAGTAATTATATATTATAGTATTGTGTAGTATATAGTACATAGTAATTGTAAGTTGCTGA